TAAGTTTGAAGTGATTTGTTGTTCAAAAATGTATTTAAAATACTAGATAATGACAGTTATTCAGTGACCTTAATAATATAAAAGTTTTCAAAATACTTGCTCTAATGTAAAAATTTACCATTTATAAACATTCCTAAAATTCTACATCGGTCAAAACCTGTCCACTTCCTGATGCCTGAGGAAAGAGGAGAGCATTCAGCTATCATTTAATTCTTTAACTGACTTCCAGATAACAGTTTTTTGTGTTACACTGTACAACAAATCCCTTTACCTGACAATCTGGAGCAACACCACTATCAGCATTTCCAACAGTCCCCTCTACAGACTGAATGAGCTCTGTCACTTTGTAAGTTGTTCCACTGTAAGCAGTCACAGAACCCCAATAACAGCTGGTCTGGAACAGAGGGTTTTACTTTATAAACTGAATAATTCCACAACTGCAAAATCTGTAATCAACAACAAAGGTTTTGTTCTAACAAAAATTAAGAAACCCATTATCAAAAATAAGCTACTTACAGGTCGAACTAATGTTAAGCACTCCTGACAATGAACCCTCATATGAACTAGTAAATATCACCTCAGGTGAACAACCACAGCACCTGTTTTAAACTGTTTTCTTCTAGTTTTACTGAAAGGTGATGTGTGTGCACATAAGAGGACTTCTGTCAAGACAACGCGCTAGCGCCGAGTTAACGTGCTAACCACAAACTAACATGCTACACCATTAAGGCATAATTGAAAAAAACACTTGAAAAGCACCGGCTATTCCTTTAAATGCTCAGGGTAATTAGCTAACGTTAGCTCGCGGTCAGCACTTTAGCTCGGAACTAGTGCTTTAGCTTGGGTTAACGCGGTTAACGCGTTAGCTCCGAGCTAACGTGCTAACCGCGAGCTAACGTTAGTTAACTACTCTGAACACTTAGCTAAAAGGAGTAAGTTAACATTATTCACGACGAATTAGCAACGAAGGATAACGTAACTAAACCTTGAACTGATTGACCAATTCATTAATCTAGCTAGCCTGTGCTTTTCAAGTGTTAGCTATAGTTATAACTTCATTTTCCACACTGGAACAATAATTGAAAATAGTTAAGCTCACTGAACTAAACTTACACATCACAAATCATGTTAGCGTATGTACATGTGATTTTTTAAGTATATTACTTACCCTCTTGTTCTTTGTCTTCTTGAAGAGAATTTGTCTTCAGCCCTGCCTGCTGGCTTGTCCATTTGAAAATGATGAACTTGGGCCAGAAAATTTGTTAAATGAGGGTTTTAACCCTTACAGCGAGTGTCAGCTGTTTTCTGTAACTTCAGTAATGGGCCACTTATGACATGCCAGACTTGGGCCAAAAATACTGAGGCATAAATCAAGCACGAGAGTCGCAAAATGAAAACCAGTAAAAGGAACATTAAGGCACATCTCACTTTTGCCAAAAAATGCCTTTATGAATATAATATATAAATGTATAAATAATCAAAAAGTAGACAGTGTAACTCTTTGGAAGACAGGGGACCCATTACATCTAGTGCAACACAGCATTCCACAAGAACACCATACCAGCAGTGAAACATGGCGGTCGTGTGATGGTAAGAGGATGCTCTGCCACTTGAGTGCGACTTGCCATCATTGATTGAACCATGAATTTTGCTCTCTGTCTGCAAAAGAATGACCAGTGATCTGAAGCACAAGGCCAAGTCCACCTTTGAAAGACGCAGAAGAAACAAAATTAAGGTTTGAGATGCAGTGGCAGGACCTCAAATGGGCAGTTCATGCTTGAAAGCCCTCCAATGTGGTTGAATCAAAGCAGTTCTGAGCCAAATCTCCTCCACAGTGATGAAAATCTCCTTTACAGAAAGTTAAAAATACAGAAAATGGTTATGAATATGTTGCCTGACATCTAAGACACTGTTTTACGGTTGTTTTGAGATGATTTCAGCCTTAAAATCCATTCATGGTGGAGGGATATATACCGGGCATTGTGAGGCAGAATAGTCCCAAAGAAAACATATTATTTTGGATTTTACACAAGTTCACCATCATCAACATACAGTATAAAAACTCAGAAGACACATGTAAGTTCACCTGTGGTGTTGGATAGTAAATGAAATGGCTATATTTTGTATCGTGGACATGGCGATCCCACCACCGTTTCACACGAAACCACTCTGAATGACTCTGTTTACGTATCAAACACTATTATGCAGAAATTTTGTTGCACAATTTGTCTTTATTGAGCAGTGAAGAATATCTTTGTCACAGAGAAAATAATAGTTGTGCATCCTTGAGCTTTTTTTTCACCTTAAACAAATAAAAGTGACTGCAAAGGCCAAAAGGACTCACTGCAAAACCTGGCATCTTGCCAAGTGAAATGATCTTAAATCTAATCAATATATCTAACAGTTATTATTTTGTTCGTTTTGTAACCCTATTTTAAGATTATTTAACTTATTTCAAGACAGTGTTCACCTGTTTTATTTGATTTTGTTAAGTAAAATGATCTCACAATTTTGGCAGATGACTGTGCTTGTTGTAAGAAATATGCTTGAAACAAGCTAAATGATCTGCCAATATAGTGAGATACTTTTACGAAATAAAATCACCTAAGACACGTAAAACAAGATAAATAATCTTCTAAAATCAGATATATTAATATATTGACCAGATTTAAGAACATTTCACTTGCCAAGTTACTATTTTTTGCAGAGCACCTTTTCTCAGTGGCAATATACAAACACAGCATTATCTTACTTGCTCCATTGTTTCCCCTGACTATAGGAACGTAGCTGAGCCATGCTTGTTCCCAGCATGGACTTTTGTTTAACAGAGCTACCCAGATAGCAGACAGTTCTGGGCCAATTCTGGCTTACTTAGTGCTTGCTTGATTTATGCCTCAGTATTTTTTGCCCAAGTCTGGCCTGTCATAAGTGGCCCATTACTGAAGTTACAGAAAACAAACGATGCTCACCATTTAAGGGTTAAAATGGATGGATTTTCCCACCCAAGTTCATTTTCAACTGGACAAGTCAGTAGCTAGGTTTGAAGTGAAGACAAATGGAAGAGCATTAATAAGGTAAACAATATAATTAAACAAGCATGTTTATGTACGTTTACATTAATCTAACTCATCTGTGCAGTGAAACACCACATACACACTAGTGTGTACACACACTGGGAGCAGTGAGCACACTTGCCCGGAGCGGTGGGCAGCCATATCCGCAGCGCCCAGGGAGCAGTTGGGGGTTAGGTTAGCCTTGCTCAAGGGCACCTCAACCACGCACGGTCGGCTCAGAGGAGCGAACCGACGATTTTCCGGTCGCAAGGCTAGTTCCCTAACCTCTAGCCCACGACTTTCAGTATGGAAAATAAAAGCTAAAACTATAGCTAACAGTACCATTATGGCATAATGCTTGAAAAGCACAAGCTAGCTAGGTTAACTAACTGGCAATCAGCTCAAGGTTTAGTTACATTACCCTTAATTTAAATTCTTTGTGGAAAACGGTAGGTCACTTCTAGCCTTCATAACTTCAGAACGGTTTAAAATACAAACATGATCCACATATCAGGACATTCAGCAGACCTGCCCCTATCTAGCAAGCATGACGTCGTCGAGCTGTTACATCAGCATTAGTGAGTAATTTGGCTCGGAAAATCACCTAAAATCCTGATATTATTGCTCTGCTGCAGTGACATGATTCACACATCAGATCACTTATCATACTCTGCCCTCACAATCCAGAGTGATTTCATCCACCGGTGACCATCCATCAGCCAGAAACCCAGCTCCAAATCACCCAAACCACACTCCATATTGTTACATTACATCTCTATTTTTAGCCTTCATATTATAAACAAAGGGCTTTCAGTTTACATTGATTTTGAGTATTAAAAATATTTTATATTAAATATGCAACTCAATTTGTAACTATAAATAAAGCTTGTCTTGCTGTGTACCAGAGTTTTAGCACTGAGCATGAATTTCAAGAGGACAGAAAATCAATAAAAAATGTCTGCCTTATGCTAATTGTTTATTTTTACTCATAATAACCAATAATATTGATGACTAGACTAATAATTTCTGAAAAGATAATTACTACTGCACTTGTTTTCAAGATCTCTGTAATTTAAAAAAAATGCTAAATTTAGCAGGCGCTAGGTACATTTTTGATCAGAAATGACCCAATTCATAAAGATATCAAATTTCTGTTAGCACATGTCAAAAAATGGCATATCTGAGTAGCCCAGGGTCTCCTGAAAATAACAACATATGGCATGTGTAACTGTCACACGTAAATACATTATAATTGCAATTGTAATTGTAATTGACCCAAAACCCTAAAATTTTAGGTTTCTAAGGGTTAATAAACAGTTTATCCGGTTTTGTATTTGTTTACTGTGAAAAAGTTTTCTAATCATACTTATCTATTGCACACAGAATGAGAAAGTATAGCTGTTTATCAAGTTAAATAGCAAAACAGTCTCTCTCATACACAGTTGGCTTGACCTCAGATGTGTACATATTTTATAAAGAACTGGGATCAGCTGGGCAAGAATCTATCTGGGCAGATAGATTTTTCTAGCTCACTATACCCAGTTAGCAAAATCTATCTGGCCCAGTTAAATGCAGGTCAGCAGTCTAATTTTTTTTCTCTCTCTGATTACAGGACTATAACACATAATGCTTCCATGTACCACCCTCTCAAAAATAAAATTGTGGCAATACTGGCATACTTTTGGGAATATATGTCACCTGTAAAATGCTGTACATCGTTTTGTGTCATAAACATTGCAGTCTCGTTGAACTCGTGTTTATGTAATATGACTTTAAAAAGACACGTAATCCAAAAGTAATATAAGATTACGTTACTTTAAAATAGTAATCCTTTGGATTACATTACAGATTTCATTTTTCACATAAGTGAAAACAGTAATCTGTCCATGTTCACAGTAATCATTACCACCCTGGAGCTTCCTTACAGGACTGTGTGAGAAGTGTGGGAGTTGTCTGGGCGAAAGGGAGAGAATGCAGGATGTGAACTTCACTCCGTTCGTTCTGTTCACTCTGCAATAATGCAATATGGACGTAGCCTCTCTGTTCCTCCGGGAGAGCGTATGCTAGGCTAGGCGGGAGAAGCGAGGACCTAAACAGTCCTTGTTCAAAAGCTGCTGAAGGAATCGTGTCTATCTACACAAGCTGGCTTGTGTTTTTCGGCGGTTTTTGAGAAAAAGCAGAACTACTTCTGTGCTTCAGAACTTCCTAATTAGGTTAAGTTCTCCAGACAGCCGAGCTCGGTCGCCTGAGAAGTTGCGCAAGCTGAAAGCTGAAGAAGAAAAGAAGAAGGAGGGAGAGGAAAGCAATCTGTGCTGTGAGAAAAAGGAAATTGCAACACTGGGTTTCTCAAACGTTCCTCTAAACATGGAGAAGCACTCAGTATTTCGCCAACTCAGCCGGTTCCAGGGAAATAGCTCGGTTTGTTTCATGAAAGTTTGAGTGCTGCTACGGCTACTGCTTTACTGACTGAAACCTAAAGAGCTCTGAAAGTTTAACCCCTCACACTCCAGAAGCGGTGGATGTGGGTGAGAAGCTCCTCATTCATTATCTGACTGCATGTGGGAGAGTTGTGGGCTCGTGAGCATGAGTGGTGAGTGGTGTATGTGTGTTTGTTTGACGGAGTGTCCTCGCTGGCCACTTTATTGAAAACTGATGTTTTGCCCCAGTTTAATGTGTTGAATAATAAGCTGTTCCAGTATTATCTGGTCTGCAGTGGTCCTGTGGTCAGAACATGACCCATGACGAATAGGATATAGCAGGGCACATAATCCTAGTCCTGGATTTCTACCACCCTACATACCTGGCTGTAATATTCAGGGTAGGGCTTAAAGCTAAATCGTTCTTATATAGAAACCACAATTTGAAAGAGTGCACGTTGCAAATTGCAAGAGATGCAAATTTAGTTCAGTAGTAGTCTGGCGCTGTACGTTCAGTGCTCGAGAATTCAAAAAAGGCCCGTACCCCATTTTATAGAAAATAATCAAAGTTTAAATGGTCGGGAAAATCACAATTAGATATTTTATCTAAATCGTTCAGCCCTAATTTAGATACTTATGAGGCCTTCATTACCTGCATCAGGTGTGGTGGACTAATTCAGTGCGGTCAAATCACAGTTTAAATCAACAGTTTCCAGAATCTGGAAACCAGCTGCAGAGTAGGTTGTACGTAATTCAGGACAAATCTGTGCTTGTTTCTACACAACCTTGATGAATGGGGGTCAGTATCTTTTGTAGGGGAGGGTGAGATGACGTGAATGTTTTACAGATGGTGACAGTATACCACAGTATACCCAAAAATACGTAACTGGCTTTCTAATTAATTAAATAAACACATTTTACAACACAACGACAACACTAATAATAATAGCAACAAAACACCACCAACAAGAATAATTATTAATTAATTAGAGACATGAATCATCATAATCATTATTATTATTATTATTATTATTATTATTATTATTGTTGTTGTTATTTCTTGTTTGGTATATTGTTATATAAATCAGAACCTTGTATCTTCAAAATAACTTCACAGGAGAAGGAAGTACATTCTTAAGTTTGCATTGAAGACAACTGAACAAGGATTGTTTTTAAATAAGTAATTTTGGAGCACTTCTATTGGTCCTTTAATCATGAATAATCATGAAAAAACGAACAACAACAAATGGAGAGGTTTTCTTCCGATATATAGTCATTAGCTAAGGTCAAATTTCATGTTAATGTTGACTTACAACACAAATCCTCTACCAGGAGCAAACTTAAATATAGCATATTTTTCTGCAAATTTCAGTGGAAAAAAATAAAACAGAAGAAAAAAATGTGCTATTATCTTCGCACAGATCACATTTTATGTTTTATTTATTCCCCTATATGTTAAATTCAACAATGCATGTATACCAAAAGCTGGTCTGAGAAGACCTGGAAATGTCCAGCTGCTCATTGTGTGTCTTATGTAAACACATTCGTTGCTCTTGCTTTAGGGAAGGAGGTGGTATTTTGGTCACTCTGACGCAGCTTGATGTTTGACCATCAGTCACACTGTGTGCTTGGATGCAGTGAGTGGTGAGTCACCTGAATGGACACTCTCTCCTGGATGAGGCTCCGTCCTTTTTTTTGCTGAAGTCGGTTTCCGTCACAGTGAACACAGTCCTACGAGTCATCAGCCTAGCTTGTGCCAGATGAGTGTCATCCAGGTGAGATTTTTTTTTTCCTTTTTAAATCACAGTTCTACACACTTTAACGTTCTTGTGTCGCTAGGTTGCACAAAACTTTCTAACGAAAAGTGTGCTGATTCACCATGTGTCACGTCTCCATTTAGTTGCCATGAATCAGCATGGAAGTTGTCCCTGTGTTAGATACCATTGTGTGCAAAAGTTTGAACACCCTTGGTCAAATCACATGTTTTTTTTTTATTTTCTAAGTGAATTGAAGCCAGCACATCCTCTATGGGGAACAAACCTGGCATTTTGCTGCAAATTTCAGTGTACAATTTCTGTTAATTTGTAGAGTTTAACATTTTTTTATGTTTTAGTTTTTGTTAAATTAAGTAAATAAACAGTAACTGTGCATTAAAATGTGGTCTTACTTTGCACTAAAATATGTGCATTACTGTACATTAAAATGTGTTTATAGGATGTTAATTTATTTTTACTTAGAAAATCAACAAAAACATGGCATTTGATACACAAAACTTTGCATATGACTGTACATGGTGAACAACTGCTGAATTCACGAGCAGTTATACGAGTAGTAATAACATGCCTGAATCCTTATCGTTGCTGCTGTAACATAATACTGTATCTTCAATAAAATTACTTTACAAGAGAAGGATTAACTCTAATGCACAGTAATGTAACGCTAATTCATCATGGAATATTCACACAGTGTGGGGTGGCTATTATTTTCAAGTGGTGTAAAAAATAGATAATGAAAAAAATTGAACTAATAGGTCTTATTATTGTCTTGCTTTGGAAAAATATTTCTTTTGATGACTCAGTGAGTGGACAGAGCTAGTTCCCAGGCCACTACTCGAAAGCTCACATTCACATTCTTCAGAAAGAGAATGTGACTTGGCAAAGACTGATTGAGCGCATTAGATTATCATGTCCAAACAAGGACAGAGCGAGGGAGGAGGAGAAATGGAACAGCTTTGTATAACAGGCTGCTCAGTAGTTGCCAGACTTCCTCTGGTTGTGCTTTTCACACCATTATTGCGTCATACCATATTGTCATGCTTTTAGGTGCTCATTTTAAGTGAAGTGCTTTAATAGATAATTTTAAAGCTTTGTAGTTTAAAAAAAAAACAATTCTGGCAAAGAAAAGTTGTGTCATGCTATCTCTAAAAACAAAGTACATTGCAGTTGCAATATGTGTCAAAATAATCGGCTTACAATGCCATGCAGCTCTACCATACACTCCCATCTTTGCTCTCTCTGCATGAATCAGTTTAAATGTGATTTTATTGATTAAAGACTAAGGTCTCGTCCACATGTATCTGGATATTTTTATAAACATTGGTTTTTCCCTCTATTTAAAAACAAAAGATCTTCATCCATCAGTGTTTTTGAAATTCTCAACACAAGAACACAAAAACTTCTCAAAAACGCTTGCTTGAGCATGCCAGCCCAGTAGGGTGCCATAATACCCCATAAAATTTGATGTCATAAACCTCAAGACGAACATTGTGAGTGTCCTGTGTCCTCAGTAGAGCAGAGATTTTCTAACAGCTTGACAGCAGCATGTTCCTTCCAAAATCTATAATTCAGTATTTTACATCGAGTTAAAGTTTGATTTCTGCCAGAAAATAAAAGGAAAACATACCGTCTGCCTTGGGGTTGTTTACATCCACACAGTCCTGATTCAGTTGAGAAGCTGAGCTTTTCTGGCTTTTCAAACCATTTTAATTAAGAAGTGAGAATTTGAGTTTGATTAATGATCATAAGGTCACATATCTTTAGAATCATTTAAGTATTTTTAATATTTGCAGTTGCTGAAAGTGACCATTACAAACCATCAGGGTTAAAACCTAATGGTTTTGCTTTCTAGTGGGACTTAGCTTAATAGTTTCCAGTAGAGACCACTAGTTTCCTGCAGAACACCTTTAGATCCCGTTGAGAAACGATTACATGCATTTAGAATCAGCCATCACTCACCTGTTAAACCATCCTTCACATTGTGAAATTAACCCATCAAAAAAAGTCAGAACATAGTACAAAATCATAAGGAACCAACAGAAACAGTGGTTTCTATGGGTTTTTTCAGCAGGGCAAAAGTGCAGTACATTCTGACACCTTTGTATGCAATAATAAACATTATTATAATAAATAAAAAAAAAAATAAATAAATAAATAAAATTCCCAGATCATCCCAAAATTATAAAGCACACAGAAACAACCCAGTTGTCATAATTTACAGGGTTCTGCTCAATAAAGTGCAAGTTAATGGCATAATGACAGAATTTTCAGAAGGCTGTGTTTTGCCATCTATACAAAAACACTGAAAACCGAATTTTCACCAAGCTCCACTCTGCAGAGTATTTTCAAAAATATCAGTTTTCAGTGAACAAAATGCAGTTTTTTGTGGACAGGAGGCCAAACACAGAGAAAAACGTGTTTTCAAAAATATCCAGATACGTGTGGACAGGGCAATAGTTGGAGTTATTCTTTATTGGTATCTGTTTTTAGACTGTTGTAATGTGCTTTGGTTTGTTGTGCGTTTTTGTTGTTGTGGTCTAAAGGTAATCAATTTCACAATTTGCAGGCCAGCACTCAAATTGCTGATCCCCACTACCTGTGGTCAGTAAGGTTCTTCAGGCACTTCATGGCTACTGAGTTGAGCTGCACAGTATACTGTTCCTTATTTGTTATCGCAATGTTCTGTTTGGCAATACACGTGTTGCAGAATATGCAAATGAGCCTTGACACAATTACTAAATGTTTTTTTGCGAGCTGTGTTTGTGAGTGATATAGCAATAATATAATTTATTCAACACATCATGCTGCACTAAATCCAGACAAAATTAAACCTGGTTTTGGTGTTTGAATGTCCAGCTTGATTGGCTTACTTAATTTTAGCATAGTGGGCATGCTACAGACACAAACTGATCAGTACAAGTTTGAGTCTGACTAACAGGTGCTTTGCTGACACAAGTTTAGATGATAAAACTAATGTCTGACAGAGCAAAATGTCAAGTAAGTGACAGAGTGTGGCGTTTAGGACTGGAATGTTTTAGTTAGCAGGCCAAACGTGCCTCACAGCACAAGCTTGGTTCCAGCTAACTGATGCTAAATTGACACCCATGTACAGGATATCTAAGAGCAGAAAAGTTGCTGAAAAGTACTGTCACTGTTTTTGTCTGAACTGGTCTGTAGTAATGCTGGATTGAGAGCGCTTTTAAGGGGATGGCTGCTTTGTGATTAACAACACAGAAGTGGAGCCACTTAAATGGATCCAGCTATGTTCCGCTTTACTACTGAGAATGCAGCTTTTCAGAAGTTAATACGTTTTCTGAACTGCTCCAGTGTTTTCTGTTGAGGGTATGGGAAATGTGGAAAGTTCTGTCAAAGATTTTGAACACTGTCAAGATCTGGGTTGACAGTGCGTAGTTAGAAGTCATCGCTGAACAATATTTTTTGTTGATTTAATGCAGGTCACCTATAAATCCTTATTTAAGTATTTATTGCTATTTGTAGAGAAATCACTTTTGTCACACTTAAGCTGAGACAAAGCATTCTTAGATAAATGATGTCATTTTCACAATACATAATATGTATACAATATTTCATTTTTCTAAAATTTGCAAAATTGTAGTGCTATGAGAAACCTTTTTTGTTTGGTGACATGGCATACACAAAGAATAGTGCACAAACAGATGTACTATTGAATTTATTTAAAAAAAAAGATAATCATTTGTGATTATTTTTAGGAGCTTAAGAGTAAAATAAAAACTAGCTCAGCAAACTAAAAACATCTGCTAATTTGAATTGAATTTAGACAATAAACAAAACCAAAACGACCATGCTTATCAAAGTTTACAGAAAAGACAGCAGAAGGATGGTGAATATATAAAGCTAAGACTTGTTCAGATTTTCTGTTCCACCTTAAATGATACAGAAGCTAGGCACCAGAATGTAACTGTTGTACTATTCAGGGTAGAACAGAAAATTGGAAAATGAAGCTGGTGAATAAGAAGTCAGCTTCAGTTTTGTGCTGGATGTTGTACTTGTTTTAACTGCAGAAACTATTACAAGTGTTGACTTGTTACATTTCTTCAGTGAGACTGTTAAGTGCTGAACAAGGGCTTATTTTATGCTTTTGTTTTACTAGCTCATAGAGGCGGACTTGAATTCTCACACTTTGCTTGTCTTCTGAAAAAAATATGCTAAGCATAAACGTGGTAACAGACATTTCACAGTGTTGCTCTATATTATATTTACATTTACTGCTGTTCTGGCATAACTACACCAGGAAACCAATCTATTCACATGAAAAGTAACCGACTGTAGATCGGTGTTCAAGTCAAAGTTTGAGTCATCGGTGTTCGAGTCAAAGTTCAAGTCATCAGTGTTCAAGTTCAAATTTAAGTCGTTAGTGTTCAAGTCAACAGTTAATGGTGTACGTTTTTTTTCATTTTGTCAAGTTAAGTCTGAAGTCATCAGATTCAAAATTAAGTCATATCACTCAAGTCCACACTTTTACCTCTGACTACAGTTTTGTTAGTGTGTGCTATGACCATTCTGACCAATCTCAGAAGTTCCAAATGATGTTCAGTTAAATCAAAGCTTTGACATTGTCCAAAAAACATAAATAAGTGTGGACAGAGTAATGCTGCCGATCTTTAACCACATTACATCACGCCATATCAAGGGTTTATTATGTTTTCAGTATATTACAAGGTGTATTGCAGCACCGTATAGCAATATGATACCACTATCTTTTATAATAGGTACCTGCAGGATCATGTCACAGTGCTTTCTGTGTATACATTTTATAGGTTGCACAATGAAACAATGAAATTAAACAAACACATGCAGTTTCCTTTTCAGGCAAAGACTGTCTTTGACTGTAATGAAGTTGCTGAAGCTTGCCTTAGGGATTGGCATTTCTGGGATTTTTGCCATTAAATTATCCTCATGATTAAATGGAAAAAAGTTTTCCAGTATGCCTTGTATTCATAGTTTTGTAAGTAAAAAATGAAAACACAGAAGGTTCAATATTCATTTGTTGCATGCAGCTAGTGTAAGAGATGATCCATACCTGATCATTTGACTGATTTACTGATTTATTTTTGTGTTTTAAGTAGGGCTGACCAGAATAATTTGAACTTGTTTATGTTAGTACTTGCTTCTATGTTTAGTATTTGGAAGCTTCACTTTTTTAAAAATGTTTTGCCGAAACAACCCATTTTTGTCAGTAAAGACATTTTAAAACACCTATCATCAGTAGATGGAAAATGCATCATAAATTCTTAATAAGAACTCTTCATCACCTTGCCTCAGAGCTTTGCGTGTGTCTAAAACAGTGGTCACTCCCAGCCACTGGAGTCTGAGTGAAGCTCCCTTTATTACAGTGATTACAGTGTCAGCAGTTCCTCTCCTGCTGTTGTAGTCCATCCGTCTTTATGTGTTGTACATTCAGAGCAGAGATGGATTACTGACCAGGCCAGTGGGGCCCACACTCAGGGGCTCAATGGACCACAAGGCTTGAGGCATCTCAAAGACTGGGGACAGTCCACTACAGTTGCATAAATTAAATAAACACATTAAATAAACACATTGTCCATTTATGTAATGGTCAAATAAATGTCCTTACATTGGCACTGTATTTAAAATGATTAAAAGCCCCCAGAAGACCAAAAATGTGCAAAAATATAACTGCTGGAAATAAAAGGCTACTGCATCACATTTTTTGAGGCAATCATTTTGTTTACACTTTTTTCAAAACTGTTTAAGGCGCACATAAACAGGCATGGGCTGTTCATTAAAAAGCCCATACCCAACATTTTTTTTGTAATCAATGTTATATGAATAAAATTATTTGCATTCTGCATTTCTTACACTGTCCTGCACTAAATCCAATAAAAAGGACAGATTTTGTTTTTTGAAATCAGACATGCAGTTGGGAAGGAAGTGTTTTTAAGTACGTACTGTGACATTTTTTATCCCGATGATGATTCTATCACCTTAGCCCTGACATTTTTTAGTTAATTAAGACAACAATGCGATATGCTGTGATTTTACATACACCTGTAATCACCCTGGTTTAAATCTTATGTACAAACCAAAGCAAAAGTGGTGCAACCGAGTCCAGCAGCAGTGTTGACTAAAGGACCTGGTGTTGCAATCGAAGGGGGGGTGTTGTCAAACCTGATTCTGAACATTTTTGCAAACAGGCCCAAACATGCAGCAGCTATACCCATGAGCACTGCTGAGTAAGTGGTTTGTAAAATGTGGAAACCGCAAACTTCTTGAAATCTGTCATTTTCACCCCTGAAATGCAAGACTGTCTTTCAGTTGTCAAGCAATGCAGCATTTTGTTTGGTGTGATTCAGAATTTTTGAACTGATTTTTCACCTGGCAGGTCAATGTTGGTAATGTTGCAAGATCTTAAACGCTAAATGGTTCAGCATTTATCTTAATTCTCATATCTGTTAGTAAACTTGAGGCCAATCCCAGGGTGACCATGATGCTAGCTTAGCAGTTTCCAATGGACAGAGGGAGCCATGTCTTGGGTTGCCTATTCTCAGGTCCTGTTTTATTGGAGTGTGTACTATTTTCGTACTACCGCTCCCAGATTTTTGCTGATCTGATTAGATTTAGTTCCGTCATATGGTTGCCACATATATTCTGGCTGGGAGGCACGCGGCTGGGTTTGTGAGTTCATAAATATAAAATTATTAGACCAATCGAAGTCTGACTAATTGTTTTAAATTGCTTTAAAAGTTGAAAGTTAATTGCACTGGGATGCAGGTATCTAGCAGTCTGACCACCGCAAAAGTGAAGCAGTTCAGTTATAAACATATCTTTGAATTCTCTATTAAATCTCACTTTGTTGTTTTAAGTGTGTTGTGTGTTGTCTGTTATTCTGTGGATTTCATCTTTGAGATATAATCAGTGATTATGAAAAATGGCAAGCATATTACCAGCTAAAAGGTTAACTTCAGAGATAGCATGGTGGTAACTGCTCTACCTGCTCACCAACTAAGCATTTAGAGAGCAATACGAAAGCAAAATTGATATTTTTCACCATCTTAGTTCATGTCTCTGGTCTTTATAAGCACGATACATCATACTGTCCTAGAGCTGGGCAATATGACAATATTGATCATTATCATGATAAATTACTTCACAATATGTCACAAGATGCTTTTCTGAGCATATCATGGATATCATCACTACGTACAAAACACTTACCAATTGCAAGTTTGATTACAAAAAGAGCATAATTAGTCCTGTATTAATTAGTGTCACTGCAGTGCTGAGAATTATCCACCAACCAAATAATACCTGCACTGTTGTGGACTGTGGGGGTCCTGATCATTCAAGAACAAGGTGAAAAGGGGGCTAACAGGGTATGCAGAGAAAGCGATAGACTGCAGTTTTAATTGTAGAACTACAAAGTGCTCCTAGATGGTAGAATGTAGATGCAAGGAGCTGTTCCTAAAGTGGTCATTGAGTTCTGTTTCCTATTAAATATTAAATTATTTAAATGTATCATATGGGCATATATGTAATATATACAATATTTTCATTTATTTCATATTTAATGCTTTTTTTGCAGAGCTTACAGTATGCATGTTTTTAGAGTTTAGTTCTGGAGCTTTTCTACTAATGTTCACTTCATAAGTATGTGGAAGAAACAAAGAAGATGCATAAAAATCTTATATAACAGGAAGCTAACACATGAGTAATATATACATGATGTTTGCTGTCAAATGTGTCATATGTGTTACACATAAATTTGGATGGTGATTTATTGCTGAAATATATACTCCAGATTTGAAAATGGACAGTTTAAAATACGTTGGCATATATGCCACGTATGAGACTAATTTTATTTGGACTTAAAGAAAAACCATATATGCTAATGTATGTCATATATTTGAAACCCATATTTTGCCATATACCAGATTGTTTGAAATGAATAACTCTACTGTACATGCTAACATGGCTAATGGAAGCTTTTAGCATGTTGGAATTTGCAGCATTCATTCGTTAGCAATATTAACACTTCTGTCTTTTTTATATCGATTCAGTAAACACTCTTATCCAAAAACATGTAAATGAAAAGTCACAGTAATACACTCCCATAGAATCTTTCACAGATTTCCTGAAGGAGGCTTGCTGGATCTTCTGAGCTTAGTTTTGGAGTACTTCATTTATAATGGTTTGGCTTTTGAGAACAGAGCAATCACTGTGAACTGTGAAAGTAAAAAAGAAAGTGGTGACTCCACTGCTGTGAATCCAGGAATCTATGACTAATACAGTTTACAGTTGCACAGGAACTGTTTTTGTCTCGTCCAGTCACTAAGATCCAACAGTCCAAGTGCAATGTCCTTAACAGTTGTACCTCCTTTTTTATTAGTATAAACAAATCCTGTTGGTTAATGGACTGAGGATTTACAGCTGGCTTGTAAGACAAAATGACAGAAAAGAGTTCACTCTTAAAAAAATTTGTTCGCCAAGGGTTCATTAGTAAAGACAGTGGTTCTATATACAACCATGAACACTCACAGAACCCTTTGCATGCTTAATGGTTCTGTGCATGGTGAAATGGTTTGATGAAGAATGTGTTGTATATGGTTCTATATAGGACCTTTAGAAAATGGTTCTATAAAGCACCAAAAAGAGTTCTTCTGTTGTTACAAACTTGACATCGTAACTGTAAAAGAGCACTTCTTGGTGCTATACAGAACCATATGCAATATATTCTTCAGTAATCCGAAGAACCTATTCATTAGGGTTCTTTGAGTGTCCATGGTTCTAAATAGAACTGCCTTTACTAAAGAATCCTTCAAAACCTTTTTTTAAGTGAGAAAACTAAATTGAATTGAATTAAATAAACTCTGTTTGTCCCCAAGGGGCAATTCATAACTGGGCGCAGGGAGGCAGGAAGGCGTTTCAGCATCCCCACTATGTCCATGACTGGGCAAATAAACATATAACGCAAAAATATAACAAAGACACATTTTCATAAATAAGATATATAAATAAAATAAATACAAATCATTGATCTACCTTGGGCTCAAACACAGATAACTGCAGTGTTGTGCTGTTGTTAGTCTTTTATTCAGTCAAAAACATGCTGTTTATCATTATCAGCCTGTAACTTATTAGTTTTATGTAACATCACACTTTAAATGTTTCTACTGGTCTGTTTTGTTAATGTAGCACGTTTATAAGCTTACATTGCTAATACTTATAAGTCATTGTGGTTCAGCTAATGGTATCTGATTTTGCTTCTGTAGCTAACTGCGCTAGCAACTGTTTTCCAGCTAATGCTAAGGCTACAGCTTCATCGCTCTCAATAAAGGGGTATGTAATCTTGTTATGTCAAAGCCAATTAAGAATTTTATTCTATAATTTGTTTTTATTTAAAATATAAACTGTGTATTTGTTGCATGTTTCTATTATGGATACAGAAATTTTGGATGGCAAGTGCAGGGAACATACAGTTGTGTGCAAAAGTTTGGGTCAAATTTCATGTTTTTACTTATTTATTAAATGAATATAAGTTAACACATCCTCTACCGAGACCTTACTTCTGCAAATTTAATGTACAATTACTGAATTCAACATATTGGAAAAGGAAGAACAAAAAGAAAGTAAAAACACAAAATGTGGCCTGTGCAAAACATTTTATACAGCATGTTTTTTCCCCCAATGTGTTAAACTTACCAAATTATCATATTACTGAAACCCTATATCTACCTTATAGTAAGTAGAATTAGTGCTCACAACTAATTGCAGCCTATGAAATAAGAGTAAACTAACCTTTATGTGTGTTTTGTAAACCGCAGGTACTTTCTGACCTTTGAGTTTGCGGCACAAACACACATCATTCACTGTAAAAAAAATACAACAGTCAGGGTTCAGAGGCCTCTGGGTAACTGGGTCATTATTTAATGAACACAGAGAATGCTTATTAATAAACATCTGTTGCCACTTTGCTTGTTTATGTGTTAGCATCAGAAAACACCCTTAAATAGACCATGCTTTTGCTTTTTTACATTAAATGAACAAAGTGCAGACAGTTTCGCATATAAACAACACTCTGTGGCATATCAATAAGATACTCAACACAATGTGTTTGAATGAATCCCTGATTAGGGGCATATTCAAGACGTGTCACCCTAATTGTGTACTACAGTAAAGATAAAATTCAAATTAAAATACATGATTTTGCGCTATGTTTGTCACTGGAACTGGCCAGTACAGCTGCCAGTCACTGACCACTGTACTGGTAGTGTGCTCTTTTTCCAAAAATGAATATACAGTTACCATAATTTGTCATGTTATGCTGCATCCAGAAGCCTCTGGTACCAATTATGTAATGGCAGCCTCATTGTAAAGTACATTCCTTGAAATTGCTGGCTTATTTTGCTCAAAATGACTCAGAGTAAGGAGTGGGAGAAGCACAACTGCCTTCCTGTGTTCTCCACCCACTCATGCATGCACAGCCAGCACACACAGTTTAACGCACACACCTGAGTTTAATAGGTTATCTCACAGTGATCAACTGCTTTGTTTTCGTGCCTTTATGGAACTTCCCCACAAGGTAATTCACTGAGACAAAAAACTGAAGCGATAACAAATTATGATTTATAATATGAGAAATGAGCATGAAAAGTACATACAGAATGTTCAGTGGTGGCTACCTGAGCTGCTGATTTCTCTGCTGAGTTCAGAGGTTTTCTCGGGACATTTGTTGGGATCTTTTTCATGGATGCAGGGGTTTTAAGGTTGCTGAAATTTTAAGCTGCGTATATGTGACATGAGCGATGACATGATACGAAATGATTTGCCTTTTTTCGTTGCTTTTTTTTGCTAGTTTACGTAAAACAGAACGCATCATAACGCGCTATAATGAGACAAGAGATACACACATAACTGACACAGCAGATCACTGACACACATCACCTCTCAGCTGTCTTGTTCTGGAGTAACTTTATGCAAATGAACTTAGAGGTGACCAATCAGATTGTTGATCTGTGGCATGGTAACCGATTGTGTCACGCCCATAGTCACACTGAAAGATTTGACTATATGTTTTAAGCATATAAACAATATTAGGCTGCTTTGGTGTTCAGAACTAGCCTCTAAATCTGCACTCAAACCTGCGTGTGATTTAGCAACACACTCCCAAAGAGGCTAGCAGTTGGCTAAGGAAGCAAACGTGCACAGTTACTGCAGTTTCTGAAACATAACCAAACTTAAAGAAAATATAAACATGGAAACTCCACTCTAAAATAAGCATGTCTGGGTCTTTACTATGCCCAACTGATAAAAAAAATTAACTGCATTGAGCCTCAAGCCTGAAAAATGGGTGTGCTGGTCTTTCTGGCCAAAAAGACCCTGGAGTTTTATTTATAGAAAATAATCACATTTAACTTGCAAAATTGGTCAAGGAAATTAAATATTTTCCACAAATTGTTTTGTACTAGCTATTGGGGTGGTCCAGCTTACAGCAAGTAGAACAGCAGGGAGCAACACTCAAAGATGAAACTATAATAATAGCCCAAACTTTTGAAATTCATATCAAAGCTATGTAAATGTTAGCACTTAGGATGATATGAGGCTGAATCTGTGGAAGCCATGAGTGGCTGATTTTGTCCTGCCTGCAGTTTGTCTGTCTTCTTGGCACGAGTGTTCTTTAGGTTTAATCTAATAATTATAAAACTTTATCTTGCAGAGCTTAAGTGTGGCTACAGAATAACTAAAATACACTGAGTTTACAGTACAAATATCAGTGGCTAACACTGGATGCCTCTAGGTCAGGGCTCATTGAAAAATCTTCAAGTGAACACGATATTCTGGTGGTTTTCATGTGTGCTTATCTTGTATGCCTGCTTTTTAAATTCTTTAACTATTTGAATGCTGCTATGTGAAATCAATTGACAGAATGACAAGGAATGACATTAAGACCACTTGAAAAAAATACAGACAAAACTCCGGCTTCAAGACAGTCCTTTGATTTATTCACACCAAGACATCATGCAATTTATTATTGTACTTGTGAAGACTTACTATATCTTTTTTTATCCACACAGAGAAATGACTTCCACTCTGAATGAAAGTGAGTCATTAGCCACCCCATTTATTCCACCACATCTATGACACAGCAATAAAGGCTAAACACACATCCATCTTTTAATAAAAGGTGGAATAATCAGTTCTTAATTGTCCTGTTGTTATTGTTTGGAGTCATTCAATTTTCAGTAATTCTTCAATTAGAAGAATTAAATGCAACAGGTATATATAATTAGACATTAGAAAAACTACCACTAGTAGGTAGAAAGGCAGTTCACAGGAGCTTTTAAAAGTAATGCTCTTTCTCTTTTATCTTTTTCAGACATGGGTATGAGATCCCTCACTCTGCTGGCCTTGGTGTGGACAATTGCAGGGTTGGGTAAGTCACTGAAATAAAACAGAAGTGAACACTTGGTGGCCCGTAACTCCACAGTTGGCATAGAAAGCCAAATAAAGGCGTAAAAAGCTGTTTACATACACTATAACTGTTTTCAAAGAAGGCACAACAAGCAATCTTGCGCTTGACGACTGTTCCTTTAAAGGATAAGTTATTCCAACAATCTAATTTACACAAGCTACACCAAATGTAGTCAATCAGCCAATCAACCATGTTTGCTGTCTGAAGTTTGCTTCTATACAGTCATATGCAAAAATTTGAACACCCCTGGTCAATTTCCATGTTTTGTTGATTTTCTAAGTAAAAACAAGTTAAAGCATCCTCTACAGAGAACACAATTAAATATGACATTTTCTGCTATTTAATAGTGCACAATGTCAAATTATTTGCATATTGTTGCTGTCAGAATAAAACCTTGTATCTTTGAATCGCTAACTGCCCTCTATTGTATTAAACTTTTATGATGAAGGGACCAACAGAAATCACTTGGAATAAATAATTTCTCCATAAATTTCTATTAAAAGTTAAGAATGTTTCCTTCTCATGTAAAGTTACTATTTTGGAGATATGAGGTTTTGTTCAGACTGCTTTGATACATTTGTTAGTTTAGCATACTGAAAAACACAGGCCTCATTTTATGTCAATATATAAAATGAAATGAATAAACAGTAGTTGTGTATTAAAATGTGCAGAAGTGTTTTCTCTGTAGAAGATTTGCTAATGTATTTACACTCTGGAAATCAACAACATAATGGAATTTGACCAGCCGTGCACAAACTTTTGCATACGTCTGTATAAGCTGTGAATGAGTTTATTACTGCAGCCTACATGAGTAGCCTGCACTTCTGATGTGTCTTCCAAACTTCCAAACTGTCTGAATGAACTGTAGCTAATAGAATTGGGCCAAATTTGGCCAAACTGAGTGCTCATTTGTTTATATTGGTACTTGATTACCTATTTAGTATTCTAAAAGCTTTTTTTAAAGCCACAAAATTAGTAAAGGCCTTTAAAAAGAACAATTATTGTTATATGTGGAATGGATAATACCAGGCATACTGGCCTCGGAGCACAACAAACAAACTGCTCTACTTTGTACGTGGCCACTAAAGCTAAAAATGTTTGCTTATTGGATGGTAAGAAACATGCTCATGCCAAATTGGAAGCATGGCAGGTTTGATGAATCAGCTTGAGTATGTAAGTACCTAATCTTAGAGGCTTACACCATAGCTGATTTGATTTGTGTCATCACTGGTATACTCTGTTAATACATTGTTGCTGCCTTGAAAAAGCCTGTAAAATGCTGTTCAGGCCAGCCCTAGTAGAAATCTAAACATTGTAGAACCAATAAAATACATGTTTCTTTTTTGAAATATTCTTTTTTCATTTTGCCCAATCGTTTACTTATAACCAACCCATTAAATCCATCCTGAATCCTACAAGTTTACACTTTTTCACAATTTAGTGTGGCAGTAGTTTAGCATGTTCTACAGAGATGGTTCAGCTTATGAAAGTGACTGAATGCAACAGCATGGCTCAAAATTCTAAGAAGAAACCGTGACAATCACAATTCACGCTGAATCTGTGAAGCAGAAGAAAGTAAAAGTGTATATTTAAAGTTCATTTGCCAGCATGTAATGCTGTGCTGGCCGAGTGGCTGATTTTGCCAGGCCTGCAGTTTGTCTGTTCTCTGGACCCCAATCTTGATTCTTTGAATGTGATTCAATAAAATTCATAGAAATAATTCATGAGAGGCCATGTATTATGGTGACTCTACACGGTTAAAAGGTTTTGTTAGGCATTAGAGTAAAATCACTGTATCGTTTGGCTCCTCAGTGGTTTATTGCTTTTATAAAGCAGTGATAAATTACAGAACCCAAAATGTTGGGAACAAACAATACAGAAAACAAAACAGTACAAAGACATTATTTTTGCAAGACACTCCAGAAAAGTTGGGACAAGGGAAATTTGTGACTAGGAAGTGTTCAACTAGGAAGGTGATGCAATTATGTTTGGTTTAAGAACAACATTCCTCAACTGGGCCTTCCAAGGGATTCCAAGATTTCACTCTATACAGTGCATATTCTCAAAAGATGCAGAGAATCTGGAGAAATGTGACCTTTGCCTCTGTGACCTTTGCCTCCTTAGATGACACTTCGTTATACCGTCATACTTCTGTAATTGATATCACCACATGGGCTTGGGAATACTTTGACAAACAGTTGTCAATAAACACTGTTCAAAGCTTAAGACTGTACTATGCACATTGGAAGTCATACATCAACAATGTCCAGAAACACTGCTGTCCAAAATACGACAACAAAGGTCGTGTATGCTTACACAGCTGAAGAAGTTTAAACTGGAAGAATTAGTTTGTGTCTTCAGTCTCCTAACCATTATCAAAATATTTTAAAAGGAGAAGTCATGTAACACATTGGTAAACATGGTCCTGTTGCAGTTTGCAGGGATTAAACTTGGAATGACCATATATTTACCAAAAATTTACTAATCACTGCTTTCTGTTTTTCATTGGCATTTTGCACACTGTCTCAACTTTTTTGGAGCTGCGGTTTGTACAATATGATAAAATACATTAATTTTAGTAATTAAAATAATTTGTAATAATCACAATTAAGTGGACTGTGGTTGCCAAGCAGTGTAACAGTGAAAAATTATGGACAGCACAATGGTTTTTAATAACTGGTTGTATTGATGCAGGATTCAACAAGATTAGAACGATGTATTTATGAAGACTCTTTTTCTTGTGTGTGTGTGTGTGTGTGTGTGTGTGTGTTTGTACAGATCTCTGCAAAGACTATGGCGAGGCATTTGAGCGTGTGTTCACAGTGCCACATGAGGCGGCACTGTTGAACTGCTCTTTGGTGAATGAATATGTCTTTGAATTTCTGGATACTCCTTATAACATAACATGGTACAACCAGAGGACTGGCCTTGAAGTCACTGGAGAAGAGGATGGTACCATAGTGAAGGGGACTAAACTATGGTTCCTCAATAGCACTGTGGAACACCAGGGAAAGTACTTATGTGTTGTTAGGTATGTCAGGTGGTATGTTTTTCAAGAAAATTGTGACCAGTGTTGGGGCTAACGCAGTTTAGAGTACTGTAAATGGGGTAGTGTAATGTACTACAGTATAAATTCTTATTAACTAGTTACTGACATAATAAGAATTGACTTGCATTACTAGTGTGACTGAAATGACTCTAACAGAGTAATTCATAATGTGTGAAGCATGTAAAACAGAATTTTCATCTACAAATATTAGCGATGCACCGAAATGAAGATTCTTGACTGGAACCCAAACACAGGACACCCTCAGTTGAAAAACAGAAAACTATAAGACGTGTTTTCTTTCGTTCATGTTTTCTTTTCTTTACCCATTTAGCAAATGGAGTTTTATTAATGGACGATTTAGGTGTGCTCTATATATTCATATATCTATATATGTCTTTTACATTAAATAAATAAAATAATTACACACCAAGTTGATCGCTCATTGAATACACCCACAGAGCTTCTGAAATTTTCCTGAACTATAGCCCATGTATAAGCAGTTACAGCTTTCATGTGACAGTGTTGATGCAGATAAGTGTGGTCAGCCTTCCAGTACATGCCATGACTAATTGAATAGCTTTTAACTAGTTTTTTGTGCCAAAAAAGAACAAATGGGAGAGAGGAGAGTTTACCACAACTGTTGTTTACAATTGCTATGCATTATCATGTGTCATGTTTAAGAGATTTCCCATCATACAACTCATTTCTCTTCAAACTAAAGCAGCTGCTGAAATTACAAATTGAGAAATTTTAACCCTGTTGTAAAATTGATCTACCAAACGTTTTGCTCTCGGTCATTTTCAACAGAACCCCTGACAAGTGTTACAAACAGGCCACTGTTCTGCTTGTGGAGCAGCCCAAGTCCGGAGAGTGTGGAAGACCTCAGAAAGCACCGCAGTGGCTGCAGGCATCAGTGAACGATAATCTTGCCTGCCCTTTAAGAGACTACACTGAAGGAGTGGAGAGCTTTTCCATCCAGTGGTACAAGGCAAGTTGTACAACATGTCTGGCTCATATTAAAAGTAGGGCAGTCCTGACTGAGGAGTTTCTGAGAGTCTGTTCGAGCTGGACTCTTTTTACCGGAAGAGGTTATATAATGTAACGTGCGTGATTTGAGAAGCTGATTTGTATGGAATGAAGTATCTGTATCATTACCCCAGATTACTCAGTTGGAGAGCTCATAGCCAAAATGTCAACATCAGTATTCCGCTAAAAAATCACACTCAATGACAATAACACTCTGCATGGCTGTGTCTGTTAGAGGGTTTCTTAAAAAGTCTAAGAAAGTCCTTAAATAGACATGAAAAGGTATTTTTACTACTAGGGGTTTTAAATTTAAATAAGTGTCCCAATATATTACAGGAAGGGCAATAAAACAAGACAATAGTAAACAGCAAGTCAAAAATTAAGCTACAAAGCAAGCCAAAAATTTAAACAGAACAGTCCAGGAATTCACATTGTGCGCATACTAAATAGTGATAATTGCTGGCCTAGCATAGCTCACCTAAATTGTGCATTTGTATTATGTGAAAACTGGCACTCCTTATTAAAGGACTCAAGTCTAAATGGAAGGCAGGGGCATGCCTAATTAAATTACGCTAAAGGACAGGTCATTTTATATATTAAACTAATTCAGAACAGTCAACTAACCAAAACTGTCCAGCTGACAGCAATGCTCTCGTCATCACCACTGCTGGACACCAAAACTGATAAAGTTAAACACACTGAATCAAGGGTCAAAGCATATATCCACATATTTACAACAAGTCCATTTGAATGAAATAGACATTTTGAGTTTGAGCGCTGCTGTATGGTGCAGTTGGTTTGTTGCCCTAAAAAAGGTATTAAAATGAGCTGAATTTGATTTTACAAAGTGTGCAGCGACCATATATTAGTAGTTGTTATTTCATTAGTGTAAGATGGAATGGAGCAGAACTACGGCTCGAGAGGGAGCCTTTGGTTCAGCCATTTGCCAAATACCATTCACACAGCAGTTATTATATTATTATATAAAAACTACACATCCGCAGATTCATACTGGATTAAAATCCAGATTTCATCGGTAAAACCAATCCACTTTGAACATGGCTTTAGTCACCAATAGACTAAAAAGCAAGTGATGGCCTAACTCCAGATTCAAACATAATACCTCACACAATAACTGTTTTAAAGTAATTTGTTTTTTGAAATTTGATATTGGGCTGTAAGTAAAATGTTGTTTACAGATTTTCCACTGATTTGAAATCACAAATTGTACGAAGTGATTGAAGTGAGGCATTTTCAAGTATGTTTGTGTTGCATTTGCTGTGCTCCTCAGTTCCTGGTGTGCAGCTGATGTATGTGTGGAGTACCTTCAGTAAAACTATACATTGCTAAACATTATGGGTAGCTACAGTGTCCAAACTCTGTTGTCTAAAACAATTTGCTGATATATCTGCAGTATTGACTATCATTAATGCAGTCAACAAATAAACAAGGAAATAAACAAATGCAGGTAGTTGACTGACAGAATCTTAGTGAACCAAGAATATTACAACTGACTATTATTATATTATAGACTATACTAACAGACTAAAATAACTTAGACGGGACAGCCTTAATTAAGAGTTTTAGATTACACCATTCCGACTGCTGCAGAAGAATCACTGACTCTCTTTCTCACTTTTAGGGCTGTGAGCTTCTTCAAGAAGGCCCAAAGTTTATCTTCCTGGACAATAAACTAGTACTTCTTGTCCTTGATGTTTCCCCCAAAGATAGTGGGTTCTATACCTGCAGAATGATGTTTGTCCTCGGTGGGGTCACCAGCGAAGTTGCAGAGACGATCGAGTGTGAAGTAACTGGTGAGAATACAGCATATGGTTACACTCTTAAAAAATGATGGTTCTTTAAGGGCTCTATCATACAGACAGTGGTTCAGTATAGAACCATGAAGACTCAAAGACAATTTGCCTGCTTAAATTGTTCTCTGCATGGTATAATGGTTCTTTTAGATTGATGGAGAATTTGTTACATAAGGATCTCTATCAAAGCTTTCTAAAAATGGTACTGTATAGCACCAAAATGGTTCTGCTGTTGTTACAATATCAACTTTGTATCACTAGAAGAACGCTTTTTGGTTCTATACACAACTCTTTTCAAAAAAGTTGTATATAGAACCATATACAGTACATTTTTCATCAAGGAAAGAAGAGCCATTTTACCATGCAAAGAACCATTTAAGCTTTAAAATGGTTCTTTGAGTGTTCATGGTTCTATATAGAGCCACTGTCTTAACTAAAGAACCTTTGAAGAATCATCTTTTTTATAAGTGAGAGCAGCTCCAGTCTTTTGTCAGGAAGACAACTATTTATTGCCTTAAAGCACAGCAATTGACAGAGATCATCATTTACTTTATTACCAGTCAAAACTGCCATTTTTAAGGGTCTACAAAAACATTGTAGATCTTTGCTGTCCCAGAAGTGTTTACATTTTTAAAATGTTTATTTATCCACATAATTTCTGCGTAGCAGCTGCCTTTTACGTGTAAAGATTACATGAAACATGAATGAACTAGAAATGCTCTAAAACTGCTTGGAATAAAATGTCTACATTAACCTACATTAAAAGTGAAGAATGTTTTTGCCTTCTCCAGTACATTTGCCATTTTTGAGATACTTGGACAGCAAAAATATTTTAACAGAAAAACTACACATAAGTAACTAAATATAATTTAGATTTTTTAATATTTGTATATCCACTCTTCACCGTTATTACAGCTTCCATTCTTTTCAAATGGAAGCAGAAGCAAAGAAGCAGAAAATTCTAAACCAACTTCTAAGACTAAACTTTGGAGGTGTGGCTGCAGATTTCATTGAGAAACTGAAAGTGAGTCTCCTGAAAAGAATGGAAGCTGTAGTGAAGGTAGAGTAGACACACTAAATACTGAAACATCTAATATTATATTTAGTAGTTGAGGCCTCTGGGTAATTTTCTGTACTTACTGGCCAGTTTAATTTGTAAATGAAAAGTAAATGAAGGGTGGTCTCTGACTTTGGCGCAGTACTGTACACAGTGTTCACTCAGCCCTACTGTATATTATATGTTATATGGTACTTTATGGTAAGCAAGACTATTAGCAGGCTATAGTGGCCTGTTCTGGTAAAAAGTGGAAGCACAATTTTTGCTTTTTTTGCATCAATTATTCACTTTTTTATTTCAGATGCAGTATCGCTGAGACCTCGCATGATCGAGCCAAGTAAAGAGAACATTACACTGGCACTAGGTGAGTTACACTTTACAAAAATATGTAAAGATTTTTTATTGAAGAGATTTATTTGAGCAAACTCAAAATAACAATTCCATGCTGGAAGTGGCAAAAAAACAAAAAATTCCATCAATGTTGTGTGTCCTGATGAAGGCCTGAGAAGGCCGCAATGGGTCAGCACATTTTCATCCATAAAGGCTTTTTATACTTTTCTTAAGATAGTGGAATTATTTTGCTCTGGGATTTATTTTGCGCGAGCTGTATGGATGCAGATAGATTTTTCTGTTTTTTGCAACTCCCAGCATGGAATTGTTATTTTGAGTTTGCTGCACCCATGCCCCAGGAGCACCTGTCTTTTTGCTTTTTGCAGCGCTTCTTCATTTCGTTTGTTTCAGATTTATTTGAGCTTTTGAGTAATCAATCAAGAATCAAGATCTCCAGCATCATTTCAGTTTATAGTTGTTTTTCTCTATGAGCAGGTTCTCCGTTTGAGAAGCAGTGTTGTGTTTTCATACCTGGCACCGATGTTCACATGGTGATGCTGGAGTGGGTGTACAATCAAAACCCCTCAGACCGGGTGTACCAGACACCTACAAAGTGAGTAGATTGTAAAACAGACTTGCAGGAGACTAGGTATACTCGTTTATTTATATAATGTCCAATTCTGTGTGGCATTACATTTAGCGTAATGTACTGGTACCGTTGCAAAACTGAGAGCATTTTTCTCTTCTCAAAAAAGTGCATCAAAAATAGTGCAAAATGAAGATGCTTCAAAGTGGTACCGTCCAACATTTAAGAAATTGTAAAATTTAAAGCTGCACCAACCTCTAAGCTTGATCAAGTCATCAGTCCTGTATATGATAATTTCGCCTGATTGAATTTTACAAATATATAAACACTGCAGTGCAGTAAGGTCTTGTTACATTGGCTTGACAAAACCAGCTTACTGTTCTTCATTATTCGAGTTGCAGGTTGCAGCTTTCGGGCTAAAACTACAAAGCTTTGTAGGATCGCAGAGCCTATATTGGAATAGTGTGTTTGGGCTTTTTGAGTTTTCTGTTTTTTGTTAAATTCAAATCTAACTGGCACAAATGGTGTCACAAAGGACACCTCCACCTGGGATACCACAGCAATGGCCTAGCAACACCTTAGCAAACACCTGGGATTCCAGAGCAATGGCCTATCGACATAGCAAACACCTGGGATAGGGATGGGCAATATGGCAATATTTTATTCTTATTGTGATAAATTACGTCAAATATGATTTTCTGATCATATTGCACGTATCGTCTGTAAAGAACACTAATTGCATACAAAGAGACCAGTAATATTTAGTTTAGAATTATAGTTTAGGTTTTATTATTATTATTATTATTATTATTATAGTAAATATATATGTGGCACTACAGGTTCCATTTTGTCTGTTCCAATTTATTAAATCTCAGAAAAATGAAATGTATGGTGATGAATGTGTATCGTGAAAATGTCTTGAAGTATTGTGATATAGATCATTGTGACCATATCGCCCACCTCTAAGCTGGTATAACACAGGCTTTCACTCTGTATAAACACATAAGTCTTCAACGCTGGTCATTTCCGCTGTAGAAACAGATCTTTGCCACATTTCCTTTTTCTCCTGCTGGTCATAAACAGTTGTAAAAGAAATGAGAGGAAGCAGTGGCAAAAGTTTGTTGAAAGGAAGCCACTAGTGCTGTGCTGTACGTGTGGCAGGAAAATGAGTAGGTGACGCCCAGATCTTTAAAGCTGCTGTCCTTTGTCGGGTGTTTTTTTTTCTTTCTTGTTTTTTTTTTTTGAAATGGAATTTATTGATTTATCCACTGTGATAAACTTGTTTCTACCACTAGCTTTTCTAATAATTCTAATTTACTTGCTATTGCTAACAATAATAATAATAATAAAAATAATAATAAATATGTCTGCTGTAGATGTCTTGTAATAAAACCAATGCATGTGTTGTTGTGACAGTAGTGAGGAATCATCTACCAATAATGTCTAACTTTGTTTATATGTTTCATCTGAGGTGACTGTTTCCTTTTATCTGCTTATATGCTGCATTCTCATGTTTGCGTTGAAAAGCATTGTTCTGCGTCTCATAGAAGTACGCAACCAATGGCAGCATGAAGCTTCACAAATGTTGGTGTGGTTACAGCGTTACCGGTGTAAAACGATGATTATCAGAGGAGAGCTTTAGCAGTGTAGATTGTTTATTTAAGGTGGAGAAAGGTAGGATGCTCCGTACTCTTTTATTTTTGTTGTGTAATACTCAGTCCATCTTTAAATCACCATGTTTGCTACTAAACTGTGGAGCTCAATTCACTTTTTTATTAGACAGTCAGGCTCAGTATTCACTTTAATGAACATTAAACATATAAATAAACCTATCTCTTTAACTTAGCATTCAATTAAAATTCTGTGTCTCTTTGGTATTCATCTTTTTAATCTGATCTGTGTCATTGTCTTATTTGATTTTAAAGTAATACTCATAGTTTCTTCTAATACTATCAAGCTGTCTGTAAGGCACTTTGAGCTGCCAATGAAAAGTGCTCTATAAATAAAGATATTATTATTATTATTATTATTATTATTATTATTATTGCTGGAACATTCTGCTTACTGCTACAGCCTGGGGAACATTGTCGCTGGCTGTGGCAGAATTTTCCGTCCAGGCTCCATTGAAAACAGTGGAATATCCGGTTTGAAAAAGGTCATGTGACTGAAATGTACACACTGTACATTACATATGTTGACAGTATTTTTTCAGCATTTGTCAAGTTCCAAGCCTAACATTTTCTAACAGCCTATACATTCACAGTTGTACCTTAAATGCATTAGTTAAGTCAATCAAGGTCAAAGTGAAGAAAGCATTTTAGCTACGCAAGTTACTTCACTCAACTGAAAAAGATAAAAACACATCTTTATTTTGTGTTGTTGTTGCATGTTGAGAATCAAAAATCTTTGTCTCCTTACAGTGAAAGTCATGTGGCAGAAGGCGTTTGGTTGGAGCGCACCCTGAAGTTTTCTTCAGTGCTGCCAGAAGATCTCAACGTCTTCTTCAACTGTGTAGCATACAGTAGTCGAGGAAACGTTGATAGCTACTTCAAACTACAGCCTGCAGGTCAGAAAACACACAGCTCTCATCAGTTTAAGGCTCTGCCTCTGTACTGACACTCATATGATACTGAAAGCCCCTAATCTGCATTTTTTATATTTTAATAAGTGTACTTACAAGGTTTGTCTGAGTTTATCAGAAACAGACATTCATTCATACATGAACATTGCCAGGCCTAGAACTGAACAGGCTGTTTTTGTTAAGACGGATATATGTAAATGAGCTCTGTTCTGATTGGCTGTCCTGTATTGCACCTTGTTCAAAAAGCAGTTTCTGTTGAAACACTCCTTGTTATCTTTCTGTGAATGACTGGGCTTAAAGGGTGTCAGCTGAATGGTCAGTTATACGTAATAACAGGATAAATTTGAAAGCACACCGTTCTCTAGAATTGTAGAAAAGGTAAAATCAAGCCTCAGTAACAGCAATGCAAAGAAAAGCAGATCATTTATATTTATCTAATGCTTTTTTAATCATGAATGTATGCACTGTGTGGCCATTTTTACTTAATTTATCAAGCTAACAGTCATTAGCGACAGTAAGAAAACCTAACTTAATGAGCTTGCTCATTGATATTAACATTTTTTATTTATTATTTAACCTTATTTATTGTTGGACATCATTCTAAAATGTGTAAGTTTGGCTTACTGTAGAGCCAAAAGATAATAAAGTTTGTTAATAGTTTTGATGTTGAGCTTAGATGCAATTACTAAGCATCAATTGGTTAAGAGTCATGTCACTTTTTTTGCAAACAGTTCGTTGGCTTAACATTGTTAAGCAGTGCCAAAAAATAGAATCTAAGGTGTTAATTGTCCAGTCACAGTCTTTAATGAACACTTAATGGTCAACCTCCTCCATTTAAGCACTGTGCTTAATGCGCTTTCTGTGTTTTACAGTAGGGTGCACTGTTTTGAGAAAGCTGTTTTGATGCTGTAGAGAATATTATGCATGAGTTACTTTTGAGTTATGAACTGCTGAGCATATAACCTGTTTGTGGAAAACAGTGGTGTATCCTTAACCTTCTATTGAGGTAATTATGAAATGACACTTGGGAAACATATTATTGCCTTTTTATATATAAGTATATGTATTTGACATGTTTTTCATACTTTAATCATTTTGTTTGTTTACTAACACTTTTTGACACCATATTTTATGACATCATACTTGTGAGGTGCTATAGGCACAAATCTACAAATGCATTTGAAACATACTGTAATAAAAATAAGCTTCAACAATGCAAAATCATCCATACTATAGAATTTTGAATGAGCAAAAAAAAAAAAGTCAGACCTGGCGGTTGATTAATTCAAGTAATACATTATTGTAATGAAAACAGAAAACAGTTCCATCACAGATTGCGAGTTTGTTTGTGAATTGCTAACTGCAGGAGGTGAACATAAATCAAATTCATACACAGAAATCAGATTTGTGAGTGACTCATGTAAACCCAGAGTTAACTCCTTATCAGATTACTGTAGTGAACTACATTGCTAAAATCAGATTTTCTGCAGTTAACAGATTACTATGTATGAGATTACTCACTGTTGTTTTGTGTACAGAGAATTTACAGGATTAAATGTGGTTTTGTTTTTTTGTCCAAGCACATGTATGTATGTATGCATGTGTGTGTATGTATATACTGATATACTCTCATATATTAACAGATCCGGATCTGCGTCTTCCAATTGGACTCCTGCTGACCATGCTGGCTCTGCTGTTCATGATGGGAGTCTTTCTGTACAGCATGTTTAAGGTGGAGCTCGCACTAGCCTTTAGGACCCATTGTCCTTTCCTTTATGAAAGCACAGGTAGGCTGCACGACAGGAAACAAGCAAACCCACCCCCACCACCACCACCCTAACCCCCGGGCCTTTCCTATTTATTTGAACACTTGTGTAAAGAGCGAAATGAAAAAGCGCTGAGTAGATAGAACAGGCCACCACAAACAGCTTCCTCAGCAACACACAAAACAGGAAAGAGTCATGTTCAGACATGTATGTGTTGATTTTGTAACATCCACCGACAGCCTGGACTTTCCAGCCAGGGAGATAAAAATAAGAGTGCAAATAGAATAGCAGGAATTTGTTTTGTAGTACAGACCATTTTCAATTTTTTATTATTTTTTTATGATATACATTGTTGGGAGTGGCCTTCACACAAGAAATATCAGTGTCATGATTAACAGCACCTGCATTAGAGAAATGAAATTGTGGTTTCCTTTATACAGCTGTTATTCCTTTAAATAACTCGCTATATCTAATATTGTTACATTTTATGCTGTCATTTAACAGAAAAAAAATTTCATCATAATAATGCTTAATAATGCTTAATTTATAATTTGATGTACACAAACTCTATCTACAACTGAGACTTTGCATTAACATTGTCTTTTATAGTGCTGAGCCAGAGTCAGTAACAGAAAGTAGGTCAGTGGTCTGTAAATACACAACATATGCTCATTATGCCCATAGAATCAAAGTTAAATTTATTAAATGAAATGTTCTGAAATAATAAAATAATTTATATTTTTAATAAAAACAAATTAAGGAACACAAAATCTTTAGACTTTCCATGACATAGAGTAACCATAAGAGCCTCAGAATGGATGTAGGTTGTCTTGTTAGTTTATGTTCCTGGTGGTTCATCATGTAATATAATTTAAAAGACAAAATTCTTATTTTCCCATAATCTTCCATATAAGAGTAATGACATCTGTCTGCCTTTAAAACATCTGATTTCTGACTGCATCATTGTGCATCAACGGGTGGGGGAAAATAATATTAACCAACAATATAAGGTATTGTAATGTTTTTAGGGACTGTAACTGCTGTGAGACCAAAACTGCCATCTACACATTACATTGTCAGTGGTAATCATCGGGATCCAAGCACTGTTCCCCTTATGGACACAAATGATGAGTGAAGTTTTTAGAATGGCCTCAATTTATAATAGATGTGGGGTCTCAAAAGAAGCTGTCATGAACATTGACCTTTTGTCCTTTTGATGTGGTAAGCAACCAGTTTTTAACAAGTAAATCAAAATATCTAGAAAACAGTACAAAATTTAGACATGTCATATTTGCATAGTTTTTAAACTCAATGAACTAAATAACTCCAAAGCAGTTACCCTTGTATTTTAGCCTCAGAGTGCACCAGAATTTTAAATTAAATGTTAAAATAAGTTCTCCTGAATGCTGCTGTCGGATCCCTCTATAGGAGATTGTTTTCTGAACTTTCTGAAACCTTTTTTTACTGCTTAAGGGTTTATGTCTTGTTATGATTTCTGATTCACATTGCCTTTAAGTTTTAACATTAGCTTAAAAAACATTTGCCAAGTTATTTGATAGTGCTAAGGGCTAGCATTAATGTTGGCTTACAAAAACGATGACTGCATCTGAAAATACCTGGCAAATACTCAGAAGATTCAAAATGTGATGTTAGGCAAAACTAATTCATGCTAGTATATCTTTTGGCCACAAGGGATAGACAAAGCTGTGGTTATCGTATAGACTACTGAAGCAGGTGATTACTGAACTAACCTTAATCCACACCTTTTAGTGACTGAAAAAGTATAAAAAATAACATTTCTTGTGCTAAACAAACAAAAAAATACAGGTTATTGTTATCACTCTCGCCCTTAGATGGTGATGGTAAGCTGTATGATGCATATGTCGTGTATCCGCGGTTCCATGAAGACACCTCCAAAGAATTGTTGGAGATGTTTGCAGTGAAGACCCTGCCACAAGTTCTAGAGGGGTGCTACGGGTACAGACTTTTCATTCTGGGCCGGGACAGCATACCTGGACAAGGTAAAGTTGTTCCTAAGCAGTATACGATGCTGGATGAGAAATGTAAAGTTTGCTGTGTTTAGGTTTTGCTGCTTATTTATGTTTCTACGAATGCATGGTTACATTCACTGACATGCATTTATTGGTGTTTCTTCATAATGAAATGGATCGAGCATCAGGCTCTATTCATTACAGAGCCCTTTTTTATCAGAAATATCTAATATACACAGTGGTTTGCAAAAGTTTTAACACTCTCGGTCAAATTCCATGTTTTGATTTGCTTAGTGAAAATAAGTTAATCCTTTTTATGTCATTCGTTTTATGTTTTTTTAGTGTGTTGAATTCAGCAAAAACACAGTAATTGTGCATTAAAATGTACTGAAATGTGTTCTCTGTAGAGGACATATTGACTAAGACTATAAACAAAAACATGGAAATTGACCAGGGCCGCCCAAACTGCATCCCCCAACCCTGTCCAGAGAAATATAAATCAAACAGTAGTGGGATAGGGAACTTATTGTTATTTTTCTGTAAGCTCAAGCAGTTTGAATTAAAACATAAATTAATACAATTTGAAAATGAGCCAAAAGTTTGAAATTCAGATTTTATTTTGGTAATTTTGTGAGTGCGTGTTTTGTGGTTTTGGAATAATAGTTTTTTATCAGTGCTATAGTAGCCATGTGTAATTGCACACATCAAGGCTGCAGTGTCCTGACGCTGCTATCTTCCTTTCTTCATGATCTTCTTTGATGACTCTTCACAGTACTTTTGCAGTTGTGTTTGCGATTGCGTTTGTGCAAGATTTTCTGACCTCAGTCTCCTCTCCAGCAGCTCAGCCACATGCTTGACTTTGACCTTTTTGCATTTAACACCTCAGTTTCAGAGTGTTCAGACGAACCACCTCATTGACAAAAAGCACTGCATATGGTTCGCTTCCTTAGTGGGAGGTGTGCAATATACTGAGTAAATGGCAACAAACATTTTAAGTAAATTGTAAGTAGGGCTTGGCAATACATCACATATATGAGTACACCATGATATCATCATACTGTGGGATTGATTTTCAGTTTTAGCAATATTTTTCTATTGTTTGTCATATATTTGAATATATATTCAGAGCACAGGTCAAGGAGTTGCTTTCTGCTTGATCTGTAAATAAAATGTATAACATATAATAAGTATATTAAATATATTTTGTTTGTATATATTATACTTCATAAAGCAGTTTATTAATACATTTGTTTATAAATGCATAACAGGTGATTATGTTGATCTCTGAGCTCCTTTTATATAAGTTGTAAGTTTTGCTTTCTAAGAAGTAAATGTAGTAAATGTACATGTTGCTCTATATAGAACTGGTATGTTAAAGAATTGTTAGTGAGATCTCAAAAATCTTGATTTCCTTTTAATCAAGGCCATAGTTTTGGGTGTATGTCTCCAAAATCTGCACCTTAATAACCACCAGTGATTACAAAGTGGATTTGAACCACCAGTGATTACAAAATGGATTTGAACATCTCTGGTTTTGGATCATTGTTTTGCCATAATTTAAAAACTGTTATGGGAACATTTACATTTAAATGTTCCCACAGCAGTGATATTTTAAACTTTTGTCTCTCCTTCTTTAGTGCTACCTTTAGTATACAAATTAATTTTAACTTTCTCATGAGAACATGTTAAGAACATGCTAGATAGCCATTTTCAGCCACACTCACACACACATATATATATATATATATATATATATATATATATATATATATATATATATATATATATATATACACATATATATATAGCTTTTATGTAGCTTTCTTTTTCTAGAATAACTCCAGCTTTCTTTTTAGCTGTGGTGGAGGATGCACTGAGCTGCTGCTAGCTTCCTTGTGCTGCGGCTAATACTGCTAGCCTGTTCATTAGCATCTTTGACTGCAGAATGTTTCAAAGAAGGCCAAAGCTAAACTTTGTCCCTCACTTACCAGTGTTAAACATGTTTTTGGATAAAGGTCAGTGATCAGACCACAATGTAGGATCAGTGCCTTGCAATAGATAACAATAAAGAAGCTGTGTGAAGATATATGGATGTTTTAAACTCATTAACTTCTCTTTCAACAGCTCATAGACAATAAACTGCATTTTCTCACTTTTTAAAGTAAGAGGTTGATGTAATATGTAGAAAACAATATACACAATAAAACAGTTAAAACTCTTAGTTACTAAGCTGTACTAACGATATGCGCATGCTCAGTAGCACTGCCCGATGGCAGTCATATCACTTTGTGGTTTATCTATTTATCTTTGATAGCCTATAGGGCTACCACACTGGTGAAGCATGCTGGTTTGCATGTTTTTTTTGCTGCCAGTCTAAAGATGTCAATTCAGTGTGCGCTAACATTAGCTTACATGAAGCAACATTCATATTTTGACTCTTTAACAACCTTGTAATTCAGAGGACCCAGTGATATTTAAGAGAAAAATGTTCATAGGACAAAATTTATCAGTTTGAAACATTTTTGATTATCATAGAATTCGACAGATGCAGTTTTCCAAAACTTCCTTTTTTCTCATTCCTTTTAGACCCAGAGTTCCATATATGAGCAAAAGAGAATGATGCTGATTACAGAATGATGACACATATGCAATGGTCTATTAAGGCAACTGCTGCATAATTTAAGGTGGATCGGAAAAGTCAAATAAGAAGCTGGCAAATATGAAGCCAACTTCACTCTTGTGAAAAGAGCAACCGGTTCCTTTTTTAAAAAATTCTCACTACAGTAGTGGTTTTCTCAGTACACGACACCCCACATTATGTGATTGTTTATCATATCACTAAAATCTGTAGCTACTAAATTGTCAGCTTTAAGTTTCAAGTTTCAAGTTAATTTGTCATTTGCACAACATGTCAGGACATTGATGCATTGAAATGCTTGTGTTGAGGCACACTCTACAGAAAGTAAACATACAATAAAATACTGAAACTGAAATATATTAAATATACACAAAATATAGAGACAGGAGGGACCTTTGTAAGGGAGAAAAAAAAATCCTCTCTGCTATGTACAAATATATTCATATTTACTAAATGGTCATTTTTGCAAAAGGCTCAAAAAATTTAGGGAAGCTTTGGACTGTTTGGGAGAGAAAGAGGGTGAGAACTACAACACCAAAAATCAAACACAGAATGTAATACTAATCTATCTCTATCACCTTAACTTCACTGTGACCCAAAATTAGCTTGATAAAATGATTACAGTAGATCTGATGAATCACAGTATGACTTTACCAACTTTCTTATCTTACAGTTTCAGTAATCAGATGCAGACAGAAATAGAGAAAGAGAAGCATACCAGAATGAAAACAGAGAGGGAATAGACAGAATGGGTTCAGTTATCTGAGGAAAAAAAAGATGTCCAAACTTATTCTGTTTGAGTAGGGTAATATTGAAGCCAGGGTGGGTTAAGTTAGTACTAATATAACACTTGAAACCCATAGACAGGCTAGGAGAAAATAGCATTATTGTAGTTGTAATCATTTCTGGGATGAGCATGTGAAAAAAGGCAAAAAACAGATTACCTTGTTTGAAATTTTAGATTTCATGATGGACTGAAACGTTTCCGAAAGAATTTTAATAAAATCAAATTGTGGGGTCAAACATTTACACACCTCCTATCTGACCTTCTCTTTCTAGCTGTGGTGGACGTGGTGGAGGACACTCTGAGCCGCTGCCGTCGGCTGCTTCTGCTCTACACAAACTTGTCACTGTGCAGGCCGGAGGGGGTGGAGTGGGTGGAGCGGCAGATGGGCCTGCACCGGGCCCTGGTGGAAGGTTCCCTCAAGGTGGCGCTGCTGGAGATGAGTGAGGTCAGCGACCCCTCCAGTCTCCCAGAGTCGGTCCGTCTGCTCCGGGAGAAGCAGGGGGCTGTGCAGGCCTGGGATAAGAGAAGGAGGTGGAAGTGCTGGCCTACATGGTCAGGCCAGAGGGGGATGGAGAAAGACAGCAGCACAGAGAAGCCTCTTGCTTTCTTCAACTTGCCCCCTCGCTTCTGGAGGGAGGTGCGCTACCACATGCCAGTGAGGGGCAAAGCTAAGCCTCATTCAAAGAGGAACGTGCTCCTGAACCTGTGAAGTGAAGGCCCATGTTGGTTCAGCCATCTTCCAAAGACTAAGAAGACTACATACTCTGTGTTCCTATTATGGAAAAAGAAAGGCACTCCAAGAGTCCCCTCTGCAGTTAGCATCAGGGGGAATCCCAGACATCTTGAAGGGCATTCCAAATCTCAAAGGAAGCACCTCAGACCTTTTCATTTGACTCTAGGGAGTCAAGAGTACAAAACTGTAGAGCTTGGGCAGCTTTGCATCTTGAGATACATTGTGGTCATTTTTGGCCGAAGAGCATACCATATATACTTTTAGCTAATGGTAGACAGCTGTGTGTTCTCATTTTATCTTTGTGCATAGCAGCTCCAAAAGATTTCAGTAGAGGTGGGTGATATGGCAAAAATATAATATTGCGATACTTCAAGTGATTATTTTCATGATACATGTTATGTCACAATATTTATTTTTACAGACATCTGATCAGTTGAAACATAAAAAACAACTAGTAGGGCTACATTTAAAAAAGTACTATCAAAAATGAATACAATTATTTTTATTCAATATTTGGCATACTTTGTTGCCCTAAATCCAGTTACAAAAGTGAGAAGGTGAGTAGGAATGAGGTAGATGGGAAGTCAACATGAAAAATAAATAGAATTGGGTAGAGATGCACCAATGGAATTTCAGGGGCCGATGCAATAATTGATAATTATGACCTTATAGTGGTTGATACTGGTATCATAAACAGATTATTTAAATTCTTTTAAATTATTTTAATATTTTGAGGTAATGAATGTAATGTAAACTATGAATCCAGTATGAGGCTACTTGAGTATGAGGCTACTTAAAAAATGCCATACCCATTACTGCATGCTAAAAGAAATTCCCCAGCTATGACTTTGCACTTCACCCCTTATTTTGAAACACTGAAGATAATTTAGTGAAAAATATTAAAACAGTTAACAAAATGTTTCAGAAATACTCCATGTTCATGCTTGGCTCCAGTTTTGACATTCAAAGTGAAGCTGAGCATGTCCTTAGTCACTCATTTCACCCCACCATACCACACAGAGCTAACAGGCTAATTGGTTTATCTGATTTGTGTGGGGTTAGAAAGAAACAAATGAACTCTGTATCAGACTTTGGCAAACCTTGCTGAGGCATCAGCCCTGAACGAGATTTGTGTTCACCTTTTGACGTTATTTCACTTGCAATGAAGTATAAGCTTGGCTTTCCGTTTAGTGAAACTCTTAATATAAAAACACATAGCTAAGCAGATATTTACAAATAGACTTTCAGCCACAACATCACTGCTTCGTAGATCAACAGAAATCCTATAATCTGTCTCTGTGTCTGAAATAGGCTAACTATTAAAGCTGAACAGCCTGGAATATCTTGGGTTTTTCTGGAGCATTCAGTGCAAAATGGGGTGCATACATGTGTAACACTATTTGTTGTAAATAAAAAGCTAAAATATGTTGATTAAAAAGCAAACCATCTAACCAACTAAAAGTAATTTGTGGCTTAGTTCACATTACAAGCCTCATTGCTCAAATCTGATTTTTTGCTCAGATCTGATCTTTCTAACTCAGTGTTTTATATTCACACAGGTAATTGATTCAAATCTGTCAGTAATATACATGAACCGACCTGCATGTGCACTTCCTAATCAATAATGAACCATGTGCATCGTTAACAGCAAAATAACCAGCAGAATGAGCCTTCCTCACCAAGATTCTCAGCCTTTCACTATTGGAGTGAAATGAAGCTGAAAATGCTTTTTTTTGTAGTGTTTATTAGCACTAACATCAGGTTTGGCCCTGCTATCACTGTAATACTGAATGACAGTGCATGTGCATTAAAAAATAGCATGAGTTCAGATCTGATTGTCATAAAGGTTGTAACTGCGAATAAGATATGTATGGATATCTAGGACCACTTACAAAGGCTGCGTTCACGTTAGCAGGCTGAAGTTGCACGAATCCAGTGTTTTGCCATAATGTGATGGAGATCAGATTTTTATAGAGCAGTGTGGACACGCAAACCTGATTTTTTTTTTTATTCAGATCTGAAGTATTGTCCCATGTGGTCCTAGATCAGACACAAATTCAGTGAGGGACGACTTTAATGAGAACGCTCAGATCAGAAATCAAGGCAGCTGTGCCAAATCTGAAGCTAGTGCCAATACATTGTGCAAAAGCATCTGAGCCTTTTAACCTTCGTCTTGATCTAATAATGATGATGAGAGTTGATCAGAGTGAATGAACTTCTTGTTCTGCTGGTTAGTTTGTTGTTCATGATGCTTGTTGTTTGTTCATGTGACGTTATTGATTAGGATGTGCGCATGCAAATCGTTTCAAGATGCAGGTTTGTTCACATTAATGACAAATTTAACTCACTAACCTATTCAAATGTGAACCGTCTGAGAAAGATTGAATCAGAGCAGAATATCAGAATTGAGCAGTGAGGCTTATAATATGAATATAGCCAAAGTGTCTCAGATCTTATTTGAAAAAATCAGATTTGCGTGTCCACGCAGCTCTATGAAAATCAGATCTGTGTCACATTAAAGCAAAAAAATCTTCGCATCATTATATAATCCTATCCAACCTACTGAGTGAGATGTTCTTTAAATAGTGTAAATTTGGACAATACCTTTCTTAAACTGTCACTATCAGTCTGGCAGTGTTGACCGCCCCAAAATAGTGGCACGGTTGACATGCCTGGCTGAACCCAAAACAGCATCTGTGTTTGTATATATGTGCTTTTACAGAACCCAGTCAATCTAGAAAAAGGATGCCAAAGTATCAGTAATAATTATTGGCCACAACTTAGGATCAATAATAATAATCAAGAATACGTTTCAACTTTTCTCAGCAAAAAATATATCAGCTGCTGATGTATCATGCATTTCTAGGATTTGGAATTGGGGGATACTGTGATTAAATCGGGCACTGTGGAGTTTGGAGAGCTTCTTGCAGAACCACAGCAAGCACTCCAAAGCTGTGTTGTGTTGTGCTCAGTATCATCACCATGGCTCAAAAAAGAGTCAGTTTGCATAAAGAAACTTTTGTTGGGTCAAAGTCCATTATCCAAAATCAGAGAAGATGCCGTCACCTGGGGATCTACCTGAAAAACCAAGTCTTCAGTTTTCATTCTTCTTTATTTTCAGACTCTTTGGAGGACTTTTCACATCACATAGTACAGAAATGCACAAAGTGACTTTATTAATTGATGCTAGGAGCAGAAAAATGTAGCAGAATTTTACTTAGAAAGATGATAATAAAATGGTACACAAAACATAAATGGAGCTATATTTGTGTGTATATACAGTTGTATGTAAACGTTCTGGTCAAAATCCAAGTTTCCAAGATTTTATAAGTGAAAAGTTATCTCTATCATCAAAGTTATCTAAATCCTCTATCATCAGGCCTATTAAAATGGCAGTTTGTTCCACTGTGTGTCATTGACATTTTTAGTCTGCTCTGCATGTTGCTATAAATATTTAAGGAAAATACCCCTATAATTATGAATATGAATATAGTTAGGGAGAAAGAGGAAGAGCTGTAATAACTGGCATCAAATAACTGTACTGTAAAAGCATGTTGAAAACAGTTTCATTTGTCACATACAGTATTCTTTTTGTTGTATTAAAAAGGTACTCCACTGATTTTTCAAAATCTCTGCATAATTAAAGGGTAAAGATGTGAACAGTCATTCAAGAGTGGTCTGTTGTCAAAGGCTCTAATCTCCAGCCTGACCAAGGCACCCTGGCCAGCCCCCAAAGAATGCTGTCTCATTAGCAGTTTGATTTTCTAAAAGTAATTTGGCTGTCTTGTTTTATGCCATGAAGAGGCCATTTTTACACTACATCTTGCTTTAGAAGTACACTCTTAAAAAAGATTCTTCAGGGGTTATTTCATAAAGACTATGTGACTGCTGTTTCTGAAGTTGCATATGTTTTTTGTGTTTGTGAAATGTCGTGCTGGTGTTGTTATTCTGATGAAAGTGTTTTCTGAGTTTACAGAGAATCTACGAACTAGCAGTGCATGTTATTATTTTGTAGCATTTATGTTGTCATTTTGATGAAGGCGTTTTTGCATTTACAGCCTTTTTTATTTTGCAGTGTGTTGGGTCTTGTTGACCACTGTAATTAACACATACAAATTAGCATTGACTTTTCAGTTTTGTGACCATACATATGAACACTCATTGTCCATTTTATCAGCTCCACTCACTATACAGGTACACTCTGTAGTTCTACAATTACAGACTGCAGTCCATCTGTTTCTCTGTATACTTTGTTAGCCCCTTTTCATCCTGTTTCTTAATGGTCAGGATCCCCACAGGACACCACAGAGCAGGCATTTTGGGTGGCGGATCATTCTCAGCACTGCAGTGACACTGAATGTAACGTAGTGGTTATTTTTGCCTGCTGTAGAAGAGTGTCAGACTGTACGGGGAAAGACCCAGCGAGTCAAATACACACACATGGAAAACAGCAATTATTCTGGTCGTAGTAGCGTCCCTGCACTCTTAAAATCCCTTTGTCATACAGTTAAATGCAGTTCCACTATTCTTATTCTCCAGCTATTCTACGAAGTCTCACTACTATTGCTTTTCTCAAGCTAGGACTGATATCAGCCCCCCTCCCCCTACACACACACACACACACACACATTGCCAATGGCGTGTTGGGTCAGTAGCAAACAGAAATCATGGAGCGAAACAAATTAGTCATATTCTGGAGTTTTTTATAACCTGGTTATAAAGCATGCCGATATAGAATTAGTACATACTGTTAATAAAGGAAATAAAGGAGCCCACATAAAACTCACAGTAACACAGCTTCAAGCCCCTTTCTTTTATATTCCTTCCTTTGAATGGAGCGTACACTGCAGCTACTGTCTGTGCGGATTTTTCACGCAAAACAAAACCGCAGGCTTCCTCACCCGCTTTCAGATGAAGCGGCAGCATCTCTGCTGCTGCTTCACTGGAAAAAAAAAAACTTAAAGAGAGGTGACGGAAAAACCCGAGACGCAAAACATGAGCAGCCGAGACTGAGGGCTTTATTCTGAGACTGAGAGCCGAGCAGGGAGCATCGCCAATATCCCTAATATCCACATATGCTGGAGCAGGTGAGACTCTTGAATTAACCTAGTTGCTTTGCTATATACTAATCAATCAAGTTAAGTAGCAGAAGAGCGTGGATAAAGACTGAAATAGTCATGTACGCTACTGATTTTAAAACTACTGTACATATTATCGCTGTCCAAAGAAACGCAAGTATCTTCAAAATGGTAACTTTACAGCTGCTTCACAGAAAACGAAGAAGAAAAGCTAAAAAAAATAGTATTTGTCTTGTTTAATACACATACTTCACATATCATTGCTCTAAAGAAAAACAAGCATCTCCAAAATGGCAACTCAGGGGACGATGTAAGTTTAGGTAAGTTAATGTGAAGAAATTACAGATTGAGAATAAAGCGATTACAGAAAGAGATTATTCCAAGCAGTTGTGGAGCATTTCTATTTGTCTTTTCAGTGTGAGCTGTTGAGCTCATGACCTGAAAAATAAAAATTGAAACAAAATGGAGATACTTAGACGACGAGAATATATTATGCTTAACAACGTCTTTTCAGATGCAAAAAATATGCCTGTTTGCGACGTTATTTGAGCAAAGTTTTGAGAAGATTTGGGTCTAAAATTTATTTTTTCAAATACATTCATGACAGAGGGGCAAAGTAGTACCCACTTTTTTCTTTTTCAGATTTTCTACTATTTCACCATCATCAAAATTACATTTAAAACTCAGAAGACACGTGTAGGTTCACTAGGAGTCCCCACAATTAACTGTTTCACATCAAATCACAGCAACTACACAGATCAATGACTAAATTCTGAAGCAATTTTATATAAAAACAAAACAAAACAAAAAAATTGTGGAATTTCCTTTTAAGCCACAAATGCTCTTTTCTTATATTTGGCATCAATAGAAAGAGTTCACAGCGATCACTTTGTCTTTAATTAGCAGTGTTCTGTGTTCATGAGGCCCTCTTTATGACCAGAGGTTTGTTTAGTTGTGGTATCATAAAGGGCCCATATATGCATACATTTTTACCACATATTTTATTTATGGTCCACTTATCAAGTTTTGTGTTAGGTTTTTGTCGTTGTTACTGTGCCTGTATGACTATGTAAATGATCTTTCTTCTGATTGCCCTGTATTGCGCTTCATTTGAAAAGCATTCTTGGCTGAAACACTCCTTATAACTTCAGTACAAGTGGGCGGGCCTAAAGTGCTCTTGACAAATATAAATGTGTTAACTTTTGCCACCTCACAAAAACAGTGAATTCAAAATAGGCTGTTTTTTCATATGTGAGCTAAATGTTTACATGCCACATCAAAATCTCATATTTTTAAAAAAAATCATTTTCCATGATACTGTCCCTTTAAATCTTTTCTTTTCCTAAATTTCTCCATAAGTTAAAGTTTAAGATCCATTAACAGTGGCCTGGTGTGAAATGCTCCATTCTAGAGAAATATGCCCAGTCAGAGTTGCACATGATGATAGACCAGACATCCACCTCTAAAAGCTCCCTCACAGAAACATGAAATGGTTATGACCATACTACCTGATGTCTGAGACTGATGTTTCTTGTTTTTGAATAGTTTTGAGGATATTTTGATCTAAATATTTTGGTCCACATGTTTTAAATAGGGTAGACCTAATTTACATGCACAGTGCATGGTAAAATTGCCCCCAAAAAACCTTGTTGTTTTAGATTTTCCGCTATTTCATCATCATAAACATTCCATCTAAAAACTCACAGGTTCACTGGTGGCTCTAGTAAATATAATGGCTAATGTGTCGTGGACATGGCGACCCCTGGTTCTTATCACCACCACTGTACATTTTTTCTTTAAATCTTTAAAATGAACAATTTCACACAAAACCACACTGAATAACTCTGTTTACATTTCAAACACTGGACTGAAGAAATTTGGTGGAATTTTAAAGACTTTGAAGGCTAATCGAGAACTCCTTCCACGTGTTGTTAGCGCTAGAATAACATAATTTGTTATAAAAAGGCATTTTAAGTCATAAAATCGTGGATTAAGTGGTGGGAGATGAACTGCTGCACCATTTAAGATGGAACGGGAAAATCTGAATAAGAATTTGGCGAAAAAGAAGCTGTCTTCAGTCTCGTCGTTTCCATTTAAGATGAAACGGAAAAAATAAAAACAAGGAGCTGGCGAATAAAAATATACTTAGCTTCGTCTGAAATGTTGTCTAATAGGCGTGTCGGATTTTTAGAATGAATAAATAGGTTTATCTGAGGGGAAAGTCCACTGAGTTTCCTGTCACTCCTCTGTTGTTACGCTAAGCTAACTTCCCTAGTGTTGTGTGGAACTGCTCCGAGAAACCACGAAGAAAACAGAAAGTCCACGTTCCTGCTCTTTAGTCTTTAGTAAATGTTTTCTGTACTTTTCGTACAATGGTGCAGGGGAGTTTTTTTCGACGGACTTTATTCGGTTTAACATTTCCACAATTATTTTATTTTCCAGGAGTCGAGCTGTTAGTGATCCTAAGTAGATAAACACACTGTAAACCCCAGATTCGCTGCAGCAAGCACGGGGAAGATGATTCATACGGTTTCTTTCCAACTGACGTTGATTCTCATCTTTTCCTCACAGACAGAAGGTAAGTTTTAGTTTTCTGATCCTGACACAATGACATTTTACCTCAGACTCGTGTTAAATACAGGAACGGGCTTTTCTCACTGACAGTGGAAACGAAGTGTCAGAAAGGGGGGAAAAAGCGGAAGGAGATGGTAAAATAAATCTGCTTTTTTAACCAGAACTATTTCTGATCGATTACACCTAAACTAAGCTAAACATCATAGCAGTCATACTGGTAACACCGGTCTGCTGGAGTTTTTATGCTATTTTTTCATGTGTGTGTCTTTCGCGAACGAGCCGACTCTTTGAACGAGTCTTTTTTTGGGAGTCGACTCTGTGGAAGGCCGATTTCGCCACTTGAAAATAATTTGTCTTAATAATGAGAAGAATTCGGTTATTTTGACTTAGTATATCATAATTATCACTTGGTGTCTCACTATGAAATGCTAAGTCATAATTATGAATAAGGATTTTATTACTACAAGATAGGAATCATTACGACATACTAAGCTAGAATATCATTATAAATCATGATTTTGAGATACTGAGTTATAATTATGATACACGATCTAATTATTAAAAGATATTAATCAAGATTATAAGAATACTAAATATGAATTTTGAGATACCAAAGCCCTATTCGGACTGAATAGACCGCTGAAGTCGTGTAGTCATTTTATAGTCATGCCCATATAAGGAACTCCGGGTCTAAAAGGAATTTCTCTATGAGAAGAATGAATGGAGTTTTCGGAAATTGCCTCAGTCACATCAAAAATGTTCCAGAGCAGATACATTTTGTCCAATGAACATTTTTCTCTCGAATACGACTGGATCCTCTGAATTATAAGGTTGTTAAAGAGTTGAAATATGAATATTGCTACATGTTAGCTAATGCTACCGTGCACTGAATTGACGTCATTAGACTGGCAGCCTCTGTAAAAACACCCAAACAAGCATGCTCTGCCAGTGTGGTATACAGCTGTGTACAAAATGAGGGCAGATAAAAAGAAGTCAACAGGTTTCCCTGTTAAGTTACAAAGCAGTAATCTGTTCTTCATCTGATGCTCACTAAAACACGATAGATCTTTCTGTTCTGTTAATAGCTTGCTTTGAAAAGCTCTACAAGCCAGCAAAGGTTAACTGTACTCAGTACAGACTCAGCTTAATATTACTGCTTAACCCCCTTACAAGCTGATTTAGGCTATGAAAATATTCTGCATTATTCTTCTAATGCAGGTAACATTTTCTGCTAAAGACATTTGCCAGCTTCTTGTTCAAATTTTCCTGTTCCATCTTAAATGGTGAGGCATTATAATAATAACTGCTGCGCCATTTAAGGTTAAATGGAAAGATTTGAACAAGAAGCTGGTGAAAAGGATTTGACTTCAACTTCATCAAGAGTTGAAAGGCATGAAAGGGGATTAGGAGGTTGCTCTTTTTCTGACTGACGGGTGGGTTATATTAACTTTTTTTTGTTTTTGCTGTTCCACAGAACCAATAGGTCAGTATTGTTGTTTTGTCCTGTTTGCTAATGTCTGTGGTAGCTAACTGCTGGAATGGAAGATGGAATGAGAAAATTCAAACAAAAAGCTGGCTTCAGTCTCGTAGTGTTAACGCTGGTCGTATTTATTGATAAGGAGATTTAGGCTTTTGAAATATCCTACCTAGAGGTTTTATGTGTAGGGCTACCTATAAATACGTGCTATAGTAGGACATTTCAATGAGGTAGCACAATTTGTCAGAAGCCTGTCGTAGCCTGCCTTACTTTCATACTTCGTGCTTAGTGACGTGAAACATGAAGCAGCATTCACTTACATGTGGCAATATCATCATTAAAACTCTTTAATGACCTTGTAATTTAGAGAATCCAAAGATATTTAGGAGAAAAAGGTACACAGGGCAAAACATATCAGGATCTGAACATTTCTATTCACTACAGGGCACGATAGAGGCAATTTTTTGAAAAACCCATTCATTCTGGCCATAGAGAAATCAAGCTTGTCCTATATTTCCTAATATGGGAATTACTATTACTAATTACTAATATGTAATGCGGATTACAGAATGACGCACGACTAATGTAGAATGTTAGTTTTACATGAATGTATAGGGTAATGTAATTACAATGTGATTGTAGTCCCGTCTGAATGCGCCAAGTCAGTCATTTTTACGAACTGCACGCTCCTGCGTCAGTAAAGATTCTGGTGCATTTATACCTTCTGTAAAACAAGCCATAAAATAACCTCAGCTTACAGTTCCGTGCAAATGAACATGTTGGTAAAAACGCTATCATATTCTGTGGAAAGGGAGTTTCTTAGGTATGGAGACACTTGAAGAAGTGTTTACTTCTTTGACTCTCTCTCTTCTTGTTTGAATTTTCCTGTTCCACCTTAAATAGTGCAGCAGTTATTATTGTAACAAATGAGGCGTCAGACTGCTGCACCATTTAAGGTGCAACGAGAAAATCTGAACAAGAAGCAGGTGAATATGAAGCCAACTTCAGCCTTGCTGTTCTCTGTGGCTAAAATCAGCCTGATGTGTAATGTTACTGTCATGTCTCAACTCAGAACAGGAAAAAACATTTTATGTGGCTGTTGTGAGTTCCCAACCTAATGGTGATGCTAATGATGCACTGCATTCACTTAAGACAGTGAGGTAAATGGTTAGAGTAAATAAAATGATGGCTAAATTTAATTTTTTGATCTTTTCTACTCTTTTCTGAAGTAAAGGTGGCGCATAAATCGAGCAGCCACTCCCATTTCTGTCATTTATACTGAGATTTCTTATGCTGTGCGAATCACTTATAAACCTTGCAGATGTCCTGAGGTAGGCTTTTATTACTCCACCTCCCCATGGAAAACTAAAACTAAAACTAACTAAATAGGGCTTAAGTCATAATTATGAGATATGATGTCATTGTTATAAGAAAGCAAGTCAAAATTATGAGAAAGAATTTTATTATCATGAGGAAAGAAGACATAATTTTGAAATAGGATTTCATAATTTTGAGATACTGTAGCATCCTGCTACTGGCTCGCTCTGCTGTGGGAGCAGGGGAGGCGTGGCCATGCAGAGCAGCCATGCAAGGAGGCTCTTGGGAGGTGCCACGTTCGTGGTGGCATTTGTTGTAAATAACTTGCTGTTGTTAGCTTTGTATGTGCATCTGTATTGTTTTTGCTATTCTGTGCTGGGCTGTGGGGTAGTTAGTGCAGTGTTAGTGACTATCATCTGGTGAAAGTGTATGGCTAGAAGTGACCTGCCTGCTATCTTGGTCGTATCAGCAGCATCTTGCAGCTCTTCTCCCTTGCTGCCTGTTTAGTATAAGAGCACTGGCCTATAAAGCGCAATGTTTCTCATGTTGTTTTCTTCACTGACACCACAATACTAAGTCAGATCTATGAGATAATAAGTCGTAATTACAGGAAAACCTCTCATTATTATGACTTATTAAATGGCTATATGTTTTTTTAAGTGGCAGGAACTGACTTCCATATGACTTGCATTAAAGAGCTTAAATGAAGACAAACCAAATGTATAGAAGCTAAAATCACAGGATCCCCTTCCTGGATCTGCTTGGAACTTTTCAGCTCCACCTCATTATCCGCATAAGCTGCTGCCGCATAAACTGTTTTGCTAGTTTGGTTCAGGTTGATGGTTTTCATATAATTACCTGCCTTTGTTTGTTGAAGACTGGTTTGTGGATTTGCTGATATTGATGCTGAAACATGTTTTTGAATGGTAGGATAAACTCCTCCTTAAAGAAACTGAAGGGAGTAAGGCTGCATTACATGTCTGCAATACGTTCACAGTGGGGAATGCTGTAAATTGCTTCTCTTTCAGTCCCAAGCAGCCACCTGCAGAATGTTCTCAAAGCACTCAGTCCACCTCAGTACCCCAGAATGAGACACAACCCCCCTCTAGTGTCCATAGAGGAACGAAACAGTATGTTAGAACTTCAAAAAATGCTCCAAAAACATCCAAAACCGCTGAGCTTGTCCTGGACTATAAGTTTAATGTTAAGTACATCTTACTGTGCAGTAAGAAGAAAAGAAAGCATTTTTCCCTTGTTTCTATTTGAAGAAAAGACTGTAGCAGACAGTCCAGTCTGTGCACATGTGAAAACAGAGCGCAGTCCCAGAAGCAGCAAGCATCATTTAACACTGCACCCGCGAGACAACAACATACTTTTGGGGTGAAACCTGAAACCAACTACATGCTTGATGCTTTAAAATAAAGAATTTAGATGTTACTCTTGACAATGTATATTCATGTTTTCTGCTAAAGTGAATCAAAGTTTTAAAAAAGTTGGGCATGGCATTTGAAAAACCTTTATTTTACTAGCATTCATGCTAAAAACATCAGAATTGGCTACATAGCTAATAAATAAACACTACTTGTGCTGCCATCTAAACATGTTAGAGTACCAAGTTAGAACTTTTTCATAAATTCCATGATGTCTCAACAAATGCATTTACTGCCTTCTTATAGGCCTATTTACATTTATTTGCCTCAACATAACACAACCGATTCATGTTTTGCTTGTTGTAGCTTAATACTATTGTGGAATCTAATGACTGACCGGCTTAAATAATTGTGATTATCTCAAATCATTGCAAATTATATAACAGTTGTTACAGACCTATTGGTGATCCCTGCTCTAGTGCTTCATCAGAGCTACTCTTGGCTGGATGTTTCGGGTGGTTTTCAACACTCAGTGTTACACTGCCTTGTGGACCAGTGATTAATGGGGTAAAAGGCAGCTAACAGATTGTGCAGAAACAGATGAGCTATAGCAGAAGTCAATAATCTTATCTACAAAGGGTTGTTGGAGCTGAAGGTTTTCAAGAGCACCTCATATAGCTAATAAAATGTAGAAGAGTAAGATTAAACATGTGGAATCAGGTGCTTCTGCTTGGTTACAATGAAATTCTGCCCACCTCTCCGATGGACAAGGATTGGGTTTCAAATATAGTGGATGTATATAATTCACAGATTGTTAGTATTTAGGTGTTTGAGGTTTAC